TACAAAGCATCACTATCAATTGTACTCCGCTCTGAATAGTTTTTTTTTGTAAGCATTGGTTTATCGTTGTTTTCAGGTATACATTAAATTACCTATAAAAGTAGCTGTATACGTCACCATTAACCTAGGATGTCTTTTTTGAAAATAAAGATGTCTTCTAAATGTTAAATATTTAAAACCACATTGTCTAAATATTATTTAGCTGCCTATAGTGTTTAATTTAATTTTTTGGGGTCCTCTAATGTTTCAAATGTTTTCCTAAAGTTTTTGGTAAGTCTTCATTTCTCAACTTATTAAATTTAAATGTGTTTGAAAAAAATAAATAAAAAATAATAATAGCAATCAAAATTAATCTAAAAAATAAATACATAAAATGTAGCAGGCAGTTATACAATATTTATTATTATATACAATAAATACCTTATGAACAATTATAAGTATTTTATACATTTTACACAAGTCCGACAGGATCCTATGAGTCCAGGCCGTTGACCGTTCAGAACCACTTGTTGAACCAAGCGGTAAGTACAATGTTGCGCTTAACTATCCAATTCTCAACGGTCGAGTGAGTACAGTCCGAGTCACCAATCGTTGATCAAATTTTCTTCCTTTGAGAGCAAGAAGATTTTCAGGAGGAGTCTAGACGAGGAAATGTCAGATACAACATACTTAGGTATATTCATAAAATTTGGATCCTTTTGAACCTATAATGGATTAGTTTGAGTTCAATAATTGCATGGGACTATAGGTGTAGGATGTGAGAGGCTATATCCCCTTCAAAATCTCCTGAATATTTCTTACAGATTTCCTGAAAATGAGCATGCAGGTTTTCTGCAGTTTAGCCCCTTAGCCCTCCGCATTGGACGCTGATTTTTTACAAGACGTAGTTGCTCTATTTTTTTTTTTTTTCATATTCGTGCACTATTAAATTAAAATATTCACCAATTGATGTGGTTTTGTTGTAGATATCTTCGTAAATACGACACAAGAATAACATAATTTACAATTATTAAATTATATAATAAATTAATCAAATCAAATACAGGATTATATGTATACAATTTTCGAATATAATAAATAAAAATAATACACGTAACAAAAAAAAAAAAAATCATCAATTAGATGAATTTACTTCCATGCGTGATGTTATCCCATTATACATTAATTTTTCTGATATAAAAACGTAGAACGTAAATTACATTCCTACGAAGCAATCACATAATATAAATCACATTGTAATTAATTCAGACATTGCATAAATAACTTTGAAATTTTAGTTGTTGTTCTATATAAATAATAATATATTGTCAACACGTAATATAATGTTTAAAAATAATATATTTAAAGAGTTATGTGTACCTACGCATATTTTTTTATACATATAGGTATATTTTAACATGCAATTATATTTTTTGTAATAGATTTGTCATATTTTAATAATATAATATAATGAGTTTGTCACATACGCGGGTAAACAAATTACTGAATTAAGTATTTTTGGTTATATATTATAAGTTTCTTAATTTTTTAAGAGACTTGCAATAAATGTGTCTTTTAAAAAATATACTTTCTGTCAGTTATTAAAATCTAGTGACTCTTCATTTTAAACGGTTTTACAAGCCTAGTAAAATTTATTGAGGTACTTTTATGTACATTAGTTTTACATATTGTATTAAGTTAATGTCATGAAAATTGGTGTTCTGTTATTATGCGCCGTATACTTATGTAGGTAAAACAGATTTATATATTTCATTAAAAAAATACAATCAATAATAGCCATACTAATTTTATACACGTATATTAATATGTTTATATTTATGTGTTTATTTTATTTATACCAAAAGAATTATATTAATAATCTAAGTTAATTTAACAGTAATTTACCGACTATTTTCTACAAGTAAATTCTATCTCTAGTTGTCTCACGGAGATATTTACGCTGCGATATCTCCTGAGATAATTTTTTTTACTATGATGGTTCTTTATACCTTATAGAGGTCGTTTTATAATTTTCCGTATGTAGTTTTCTAAAGAGTAGGTACTTTTAAAAAACGAAAAATCAAATAAACGGGTAAATCTACCTTATAGTATACCGATTTTTAAGTTTTGATATTATACAAAAACGAGGTCAACATTTTGAAAAAAATAAAACCTAATAGTTTTAAGATGTTTTTAGATTTTTAGAATCGTTTTACGGATGCAATAATTATTTGTTGTTACTCGTAGGATCTAGTCATTAGAGTCTACTCTAGGTAGACATTTTGAAAATTTTATATTCTGAGTGGAGCAAGGAATGTATTGGTTTTACAATGATGTTTATTTTTTTTTTTTGTGAACATTTTTTCTACCAGAAATCATAATTCGATTATCAAGTATAGCATCTTTTCTGAAAGGAAAATTTTTCTGAGTGCCACTTAAAACAGGTCATTTTTTAAAATTCTCATAAATATTCGAGATAATGAGGAAATTAGGTTAAAAAAAATTAAAAGATTAAAAATAAGGTTGTCATCAATAAGTTTTTATTATTTTAAAATCTTTTTAAACATTGTTGTCGTGAAAACGCACATTGTTTAATGCATTTTTTTTTTGTTTTATGTATTTGGGTACATAAAAAATAAAATAAAAAAAGGACGGGCATACTTCGCACGTGGGTGCAGCTACTGTTGTAGGTGGCAAGTTGGGAAGGTAGGCTACAGACAGAAATTGAATGTATATATGTAAGTAACAATAAACCATTGCTAACAAAAAAACGATTTTGAGCCGAGTTCAGTTGATAATGTTGCTTTGTCAATAATAAAATATATGGTATTATGTCATATTATGGTAAAATAATTAATAATTACAACAATGTGCGTTTCTGTGACGACAATGATTATTTAAAAAAGAATTTAAAATAATAAAAACTTAATAATAACAAAAAATAAATAAAAACAGTCGCCAATGACAACCTCTTTATTTATTTATTATTTTTCAATCTTTTTTTAACCTAAAGACCGAGGTTTTCCTCATTATCTCAAATAGTAATCAGAATTTAAAAAAATGACCTCTTTAAAGTACCACCCAGAGAAAATTTTCTTTTAGAAAAGGTGCTAGGCTTAATAATCGGAGTAAGCTCCCTGGTATAAAAAGTGTTCACATAAAAAAAATAAAATAATAATAATTTATCAAATTAAATGATCCATTCTGATTAAAAACTGTGCTTACATTAAAAATAAAATTGAGGGAAATACAAATCCGGAATGTAATGTTCTGGAAAGCAGTTTTCCAAAAAGTAAAAATCCAGACTGAAAAATATCAATGGTTTCTAGAAAAACGTTGTTACCTATTACATAAACGTTAAAACTTTTATAATGCAAAGCAAAAAAAAAAAAGTAGCAAAGTAGGTTAAATAGTCAGGGAAGATCACTTTGGATCTTTAAGGGGTCTGAGAGAAAGGCCGGCGCAATAAAAACCGAATTTATTACATTTTAATAGCTTGTAAAACAAATTAAAATCAGGTGCCACGTAGAGGCGGGGGGGGGGGAGCTTAGTGCCATGGTCGAAAGTACGATTTCGATAATTTATATAAAAAAAAACACGTTGTTTTACATCAATAATATAGTAATAACTATGGACTTTATCAATATTTTGTTTAGTTGTTATGTATTATTATTATTTATCATAAGATAAAATAATGGGTATACATTTTTAAATATTTACCATAGTTATTATTGATTCGATACAAGATTAAATCGGAAATAATTTTGATTATTATTATTACAACAGGTGGTATAATAACCTTGAAGGTTATTTATCATTTGATGAGTTATTCTATAATGTAGCTATAATGACCACGATTAATGAGTCACGTCGTTTACCCAAGATTACCCAGACTATCATAACTGATTCTCGACACAGTAAATTTAAAACTAAATCGTTTAAAAAATTATTTTTATTTTATTGTCCGTTACATATTTTTCAGTAGTGACCTGCTCAATACGATATTGCACGCGGACACGATACAATGTACTTAGGATTTATCAATATCATAATATTATTTTATAGTCGTTTAGCGACATCACGGAGGGTTTATACACTACACATAAGTATAGGTATCTATAATTGGTTATATATTATAACATATTTTAGTGCAATTTATATGTGGTTTTCTCGACGAAAAAATAAAATAAAATATAATGTTTATGTAAATATGCGTCATGTGTAATTCGTAAGCGCGTTATTGTTGAATATATAATATAGGTACATATATATGTATATATTATAATAAAAATATTACATTCACAAATAATTTATTTTATATTTGAAATTACCTAGGTACTTCATGTTATTATGTCTTTGTTTTGAAGACGTGCGTTCGATGAATACGTGTATACTGTATTTGTACCTAAGTACTTACCTAAGCAATAATAGAATTGGGTAGAAGATTGTATATAAACTATGTAAATCGATTAATTTCCGCTGATAGGCGCCTCATTTCATTACATATTTAAAGCTATAATAATAAATATAGAGGTACCTATATGTACGTTACACAGTGAAATTCAGAAATCATGTACTATAGAGGTTAATATTTTATTTAATAACCTGTTTGTCGTTTTTTCCCCTCTGGAAATTTCATAGTTAACGGCATTTGAACGAATGGGCGTATAAACGTTAAATTATCTAATTTCGAAGAACTATGTCTTCGCGATTTTCCTATACATGATAATAATAATTAGCATTTATAATGTTCTTATCGCACTATATTAGTCATTTTTCGGTTACGACGTAGATATTCGTTACCTACTCGAAAATAGAAAACGTTATTGTCATTCAAAATTTTACATATTTTATAATCGATATTTAAAAAAAAAATTATATATTACCTATTTATAGGTACTGGGTATGTTTCTGGTAACATTTACTCATTATAGTTTTTGTTGTGCATTGAATAAAATGTACAAGTACGAGTAGGTTATAGACAAATTTAATTTAAACAAAAGCGTATTATTATATTTCGCATCGAAACTGGTTTTCATTTATTATAATTGAACATGGTTATGTTATATATTATGTTTACAATTTCTAAGAATATATAGCCAGGTTTTTGTTTTATTTAAATTTATTTCCTTAAGGTCTTAATAATGGTGCAGTAGGGTTCCACGTCATTTGATCTGGAAAATAATATTGTATCACTGTTACATTCGCGACAATTTAATCGGAATCGAAATCTCTCTCGTAACAATTACGTATAGCCTTTGTCCAAAAAATAAATGCGATTTTTTGAAATACCTACCTGTAAACAGAATAAGTAATATATTACACTTATTAACGGAGTCTTCGAATATACCGTCTATACTATATAATAATATAACCAGAGAAAACAATAGATTTGTATTATTATTTAATCGTCGGTTGAATATCACAATACGATGCAATTAAAAACTTATTGTAATACCTAGAATAAAATATACTGCTGAGTAGAAAAAAAAATGTCCAAATTATTTTTGCCATTAATGCTTTGAATCTATAATCTATATCTATTACCTTTGATTAATATGTATTGTGCGTTTAAACAAATTAAATGGTAGGTATCTACCACAAATTAAAATAATATACTAGAAGGTACATTTAGTATCTAACTGTCTACACCTAAAATAATTAATAATCGTGAGAAAAAAATGTGGTTAATATAAATTATAATTTAATTTATGTCTGTACTTAACGATAAACGATTTTGAACATGTTTTGTGACTCCGTGATTTTCGCTATTTAATACAATAAAAATAGCTTATGAAAAAAAAAAAAAAAACTACTATATATTTACGTTTAATTTTTTTACCATCATTCTTATGATGAACCTTGTGTTCATTTTTCAAACATTTTGGTTCGATCAAAACCATTTTATCCCCGTAAAACTATTAAAAAACTAAGAAAAACGTGATAATTTGAAATCCATATTAATGACATTGATTGTATTGACATATACATTGTCAATTTCTGAAAATTTAGGTATCTATCTAAAATTATTTTCAACTGAATTACAACAAAAAAATAAAACGAAAATAACGGAAACATTCATAATGTAAATTTTCCTCATTATCAAGAAAACTACAAAAAAAAACCAAAAATGACCCAACTAAATAAAATTTTCCTTCAAAGCAAGATTTTTGGAAAAGTTATTCACTAGCATTAAATATATACAATTAAAAAAGAAAAAAATAGTGAAACTAATTCATCCACCGCTTCACTATATCTAATATATCTACTAGTAAGGATAAGAATATATACACTTTTTAAGACTTGCCATTTATCCAAATAACCGTACCTTTGAATTCCTGTGATGGTGTTTATTTTCGTATTACTGTTTTTAAGCTACAATACATATATATATATATAAATTGTAAAATTTATTGTTTAAAAATGTAAAAAGTGAGCTATATAGTACCTATATAATTATATCTCTGTATCTTAAAAGGAGAAAAATAAATACGTAGGTACCACCTACACTCATAATTGTCGTGATATTCAACCAATGACAAAAAAACTATCATTGTTTTTTCTTTACACTACCAGCTAATTATAAAAAATGTTATCAATTTTATATTCGAAAAACCGACCATTTAATAATCATTTTAAAGACACAATAATACTTAAAATTTTACTGACTGCAGTAACATTTTCATTTTGGTTATAAAGACCGTATCATAATATTCTTCCTATAGTAATATGCGTCCAATTAATTTTTGACCAAACAGAAAATATTTCTGTTCTAATGACACGAAAAAATGTAAACATATGATACACATATTATGTATGTCTGAATACTCTGAATTTCACAACTAACATAAACTTTGGTTGCTTTGAATAACATTGTATTGAACAAAAACTTCTTTTTTAAATAAATGACGAATAGCGTCTTTTTAAGATTAATTGATTTTAACAAACTATAATGAAAACAGTGAAAATATAATTTAGGATATTCATATCATTTTTCAATTAGGTTATAATAAAATTATAATACTTATTAATTGAACCTAACCTAACCTAACCCCCATCGATATAGGTAGGTCCCAAAAACTGGGAACGGACTGGTCACCAACCCGTTTTAACAAACTTAACATAGAAGATTGGTGTTAATAATTTACAATGTTAGGAAAAACGAATTTTAATAATTTTTTTTTATAGCCTAAATTTGTCTGTGAACTCTAAATTAATGTCAATTATTATAATTTGTAAATAATACCTATTTAGACGTGTTTGGGTAGTTGTGTAGGCACCACTGTACCAGTTTTAGGGTATTAATGTATTATCTAAACATGTTCATAGTATACAAATAACAGTTAAAAGTTATATGTTAAAATTATAGGCATTTTATAAAAAAAATTCATTATAAACTAGTTAAATAAACAGCACCGAGATGGTGGTACGCAATGAAAATATACCTAATATACAAAGATGAATAGACAAAAAAATGGGTTTATGGAACGCAGATAATCCACAATATGAGTATTATAACAAGTTTTTAAGATTTTCAAGTTCGTTTTGTCGGACCGCATTTTATGTACATCACGAAGCGACCATTAACAACAAATTATCGCAGAAAGGTAATCCACACATACAGTAATTTGTTTTTAAATGGTTTTCGACATTTTTGTAAAACCACTTTATATAAGATTCTTTGTAATAACCCTTGACATTGCGTATCTATCGAATCCTTTCACTATACCTAAGTATACTTACATAAATTATTTAATTCTTAGGTCTAATAACCATATAAATATATATATTTTAAACACAAGCGAGTGATCAAATCGCGGACTACATAATATATACCGATATTATAATGTTATACAATCGTGTAAATGCAATTAACAGGTACACATTTTTCCTTCGTTATTATTATTATTATTTTTTTGAGATACACCTAAACTACTTGTATATATAAGTTCTGACGGTTGGAACCGCCTTTATGATGAATTTCAACTTTTAATTAAAATTAAACAACACCGCAACGTACCTATCACGGAAATATGCAGAGCGTGCAACCTGAAATCGCGGAGCAGGTTCAACTAATAATAATAAATATATAAAAAAAAATATATTCAAAATTGAATTACACACCGTATAGAGGCTTACCGTGTCACGTTGCGATGTTATCATTGGGTTTTCATGGTTACTATATCCGTGTATATAGCGCGCAGTTACAGTTAGACTGCACGACCAACATTGCCGTACAGATTCCGTTTTAAATTAGTAAATTAAAACCAAGATGGTTATTCAAATAGCATTTATTTTCTAACTTAACCCAAGGATACACCAACCGTACCGAACTGTGTGTAGGCTTTTATTATTAGCATTATGGATATATTGCAATAGTAACAAACATTTTTATAATCAATAGGCATTTTAGATTCCGAGTGGAACGAGGAATATACCTATTGGTTTTACAGTGTTTATTTTATTTTTTTATCTATGAACAACTTTTCTACCGGCAATTTCGATCCTATTTACAATGATGGCATTTTTTATGAAATAAAATCTTACCGGGGTGGTACTTTAGAGAGGTCATTTTTTGATTTTCCCAGGAGTTTGCTCAATAAATGGGAAAACAGGAAAAATAGGTACAGTATTAAACAAATATTATTAAAGAAAATGTTTAATGTACATGTAATTATTATGTAATTATTTTACCATACTATGACAAACTAACACTATCAACCGAACTCCTTTGAGAATCGTTCTTTCATTATTAATGGTTAATCGTTGCGTACAGATATACATTGAATTCTTGTCTATATCCTACTTTCCCAACTTCCCACCTACAATAGTGGCTGCACTCGTCTCCATTATTTTAGGACAGATTTTTTTTTAATATGAAAACGACCGGGAAAATCAAAAAGATTCCGGATTTTTATGGATTATTAGAACTATAAAAATGTCAGATTTAATTTTAATGAAATTTACGAGACTTTTTTACATGCTCGAAAACCGGTAAATTTAGTTTTCTCGCGCTAAAATGTGTTCCTAATAGGCTGCTTGAGTAGACACCAGCCCATTGTAATAGGTACGTGCGCGGTGTTGTATTTTCCAAAAGAATACTTGTACCAATAATTATACACAAGTCCGAACGTTTCCGACGTTTTAAAACAACAGGTAATTAATATAAATCGTCCCGCACTTACCTATACTTACTAACCTACATTCAATGATAAGTAGGATTGTTATTACTCCATTACGTGTACCATTGAACTAATTATTATTATCGTGAACAATTCGCTTTTCAAAACCGCGACGTTCGCGAACACCACCGCCGATGTTCCGTGACCGCCACCAGTTTCTCATTATACTTTCTAGCCCCGAGACACAAATAATTGCGTTAATCACGTTCAATTATCAATAATTACGTACCGCCATCTACTTACAAGTGCCTCGATTCATTATTTACGCATTATGTCATGTGATAAAACGGGTGGTAAGTAATATAATATGTGCGAGAACATACATAATATTATTATAATGTATACCTACCTACTGCTATGCAACTACATCGTGCACGCATTATTTATGTAAATGCCGTTTGACAGAAAGTGAAAAAAAAAGCGAGTGCGAGATGACTTGATGCAACGTCAACAATGGTATAACAGTGACGTGAGACACAGGAATAAAACGTAGAGTAAATACGAATACAATATTAAATATTATCAGATTAAATACGTTGCGTATTTGACAAGTCGGCAACAGTAGGTATACCAACATCGGGAAATTAGTAATACCCATTACCTACAAAACGGTAATTGTATTTCATATTGTATTAAATTTATTAATAGATAAGTATTTTGTTTTTAGTATTATTTTTGATACTTTTTAAACTGCGAAAATTTAAATGTATACCTGTATAAATTTAAGTTTTTATTTTTTATTCTGAGTTCAGCGAAAAATATAATATTGGTTTTAATATGATGTTAAGAGAACATGTTGGGTCTACTTGGTTTTGTTATTTTCGATTTTTTTTCCTTTTTGTACTTTGGTTAAAAATATCTTAGAGATCTGAAATGTTAACAGAATACTTATATTGGATTTTTATAGAAGTGGTAAAGTGTTCATAGATGACATTTTTTTTTAGTTTTCTAAGTTTTTATTTAAAATAAAATTGTTTTGGCCGATCAGAAAATCATAATTGTACAGGAAGTTCATCATAAGTTTTACTTAGTTGTAAAAAAAAATAATTGAACATAACAGTGAAATATTTTTCCTCAGTTCAAATGTTGACAAACATTTTACAAAACATGTATGATGGAACATTGTTCAGAATTTCAAAATCGTATTTCGTCTACACTGATTTATCATTTAGTGTAACTAATATAAATTAAACAACATTATGTATCCTATCTTCCCAACATACCACCTACAACAGTGATAGTGCAATTTTAAAACAAATTATTGTAAAAACTAATATATGACATAAACTAATTAAAAAATTAAAACATACCAGCAAAACTAAACAAATAGTTTAATATAAACATATTTGTATATTTCATACAAGGCAATCGTAAAAATTATATTATATTTGTACTTCATACCTATAACAACTAAAAAAGCGTAATATACAATTTTAAGAACCTTATGTAATATAACTGTTGATTAATTATCATATTATTTATAATTATATTATAATGAATACAAATATCATAGTAAATGCTAATATAACATAATGGATAAGACATTATTGGCCCGTAGAACAATATTTAGTAGTTCTTTCCATGCAATACAAACCAAATTTAACATTTAACATTTCCATACTAGTAAAACAGAAAAAAAAAACATTTTTATAGAAAATGTTTTTTTTTTTTTTTTTAATTATTTACTTGATAATATTTTAACAACTTATAATGAGTAATAGATTGGTTAGCTTTTTTAAGACTTAATAAACACGCCACTGGATTTTTAATAGGGAAGAAAATGTATTTAATTATAATATTAACATAGGAATGATTTATTTTATTATCAAAATTGATTTAATTTCATCACAATTCATTTCAATAATACATAAGAACTTCAAAATAAAAACAAAATAGTATAATTAAAATAATTTACAAATAGTGGTCAGATAATATAATTATTAATGATGTAAATTTATTTTTTGAATACAATACATTTTATACAATGTTTATGTGATATAACAGTTTATTTAAATAATTACTTTACAATATAATTTAACCATTTAACCAAAAATAAATGTATTATACTCTCAAAGTAAAAAAAATGTACCAAATACCCAACTTCTAAAAATGACAGTACAATTTATTATAAATCATAAAATTAATTTTTATAAAACAATTGTACTTAATTGAACTGTTTAAGGTTTATAATATATTATTATTTAACCATGTAAGTTCTAAAAAAATTGAAACTTTAATGGTTCTTATTTCAGTAGGTAGTTTGTTGGTGTGTATATACATTTTTTTTTTATTTAATCAATTATAAACATACAATTGTATAGTAATGAAACCAAAGTTAAAAGTTATGATTTTGTGTTCATTGAGCAGATGTTTTCATTATTTTTTTCACAACGTATCTATTATTATATGCTTATGGTTTTTTTTTAATAGTGTATAGAAAGTGGCATTTAATTCATTTTTGCTCAATATGTCAACATTTTAATGATAATTGTTGTATATTATAAAAAAAGGGATTTCATTTTGAAATTTAAAATGATTTCATTATAAATTAAATATTAACATAATATTAAGTATTATTTTATAATAAATGTATAATTGTTTTTTTTTTTAAATATTTTATATTTTTCTATAAATAATTTTGTAGGTTGCAGTGTAAAATTATTTAAATTTTGTATTAACCAATATTTTAAAAGAATACAATATAAATTTAATTGATACTTGTTATATAATGATAATAACTGGATAACAAATTTACATTTAGTAATTAAAAAAAATATAATAAAAATGGAATGACAGTTATACTAAATAAATCCAATAAAATATGTTTATTATTTATTTTGTTAGTATTTATGTAAGAAAAAAAAAATATTCGTAAAGAATAATAAATTATCAAATGTATAGTTATCACTAACCTCAGTAGAAATATCTAAACTGATGTATTGATAATAATGAAATGTAGTAGCAGACTAGGATTATATTTCAAGCCAGGAAGTTTATTAAATAATATTATAAATTTTATTATTTTATAATATTGAAAAGCTATTCTTAAGTGTGAAAAACCCAAAGAAATGTAACAATTAGCCATGGGTAACAATAGTAACAAAGAAAATAAAAGTACATTAAAATATCAAATTAAATTGTATTTTAATGTATAAATTCAAGAGGATCAATTTAGAAAATTAAAAAATATAACAAACTGATGATAAAAGCAAGCCAATATGACATGAATTCAAGATCAGACCATTGAAAATTCAATGCAGGGCTAGTTTACCCTCAAATATATATTGTTATATTATGAGTACCAGTTACAATTTGTCAAAACATTTTAACATGTAGGTATGATTGGGTGGATAAGTCTATGAAAAATACAAAAATTTTAATTGTATCAAATGTGAGAAGATGTTGAATGATTAAAATTAAATGAATAGCTTAATAAACTTAAGATATGAATAGTTTAACAAAATTTAGTTAGTTATAATATTAATAATATTTTAGTATGAACATTATTTATCAGTTAATTATTGAGAAGTTTAAAACGGAAACAAATAATTTCAAAATTAAAATTTATACCTTCAATTTGTATGTTTAATAATAATTTTTTTAGCAGTAATATATTTTAATTTATTCAAATTTTTTTTTACAACACAAACTTTATATTTAAAATGAATTATACATACATACCATAATAAATATGGATTATAGAGTATAATATACACCAACACTCTAAATAACACATTTTTTAAAAATAATGTTTTTATATTTAAACAGAATAATAATTGAGTTATATTCAATCAAAATTTAACATCACAGACTATCTATTAAATGTTATAATTGGATATTTACATATAAAAATTAATGGAAGACAGTATACCTATTATAAAAATAAAAGGATCTTATCTAGGTATTTCAAATGTTAATTAATTATCATATATGATAATTTTTAAAAGGAAAAATTAGTGTTGTACATTTTTAATATATTATTTTATTTATGCAGGTATATGTAATTATTTACCTAAAGTAATATTACTTTTTTTGAATATTGATTATTGTTTTAAATCTAAATCAAATATTTATATCTGTTTATAATCCTACATTTACTCGGAAAACTGCTTTAAACTTATCATAAAATATATAGTTGTAAACACAAATATTTAGTATTTAGCAGTTTTTAGATTGAGTTAACAATAATTTGAATAACATATTTAAGCATTTAAATTGAATAAATTAAGAGGTATAAATAGATGCAAAAAAAAATAAAATATGTATGTACTACTGTTATGTAACACTTTTTTAAAGTATTGAATTAAAATTAAAAATTTGTTTTGATTAACAGTAAAAACATTTAATAGATCAAGTATTTTTGTGAGACTCAATTATTATAGTCATAAATTTGAATATTTGAGATTATTACTGAATTAGTATTAAACTAAATTGGTTGAACTATAATTTCTAACAACAAAAAAGTGTTGCACAAAAATATAATAATTTAAAACACAGTAAAAATATTAGAATATTCTTCACTATCTTAAAATAGTAATTTTTTTGGATAGTAACTAAAAAATAACATTATAATTTTAAATTTTTAGGGAACGGATTTATTTTGTTTATTATCGAATAATATTTGATAAGTTATATAAAAATATGTTTTGTAATATTAGTGTAAAAACAATACAAATTTAAATTTACATACTTTGCAAATTAATCAATGTTTAGTATTCAAATAACTAAATACTTATAATAGTCTGAATTTTAATGAGAATGTTTTTTACTGAGTATAATTTAACATTGAGAATCTACAAAAACTTTGTTTTTATTATTATTTAATTGGGAACAATATTTTTTAAATTTTTTTTTCAAACACAATTAATTATTTACTAATGCATTATTTTTATTTAAATATGTTAACAGATATAAGATATTTTAAAAATATCTATAAATTAAAGATATTATTGTTTTTTTAAAAATTGTATACAACAATTATTCCCGTTCCCAAATTAATGTATGTAAACAAATACATTATAGATTAATTCATAAAAGAATGCCAAATAGTATTAAAAAGTAAAATTATTTTGAAAATACAAAAATTGTATGTAGGTATAAAAATGTAAGTTATTTTATGATTTATTTCTGATCTACATTTTACAGGTATAAACAAAATGCTAATGCTTAAAATACATTTATTTATGAATATATAGTTGTTTCGTAAGTAAATTGTTTGAAAAAGTACATTTTTAGGTAAAAATTAGACATTTATCAATATTTAAATTAAGTTATTTGATTTTGTAAAATATGCTTATCATTTAAAATATGTTGATCAGAATGTATAACATATTTAAATTAATTTAATATATCACATTTATACTGTATAATGATAGACCATTACAATTTAAGTTGTACAAAGCGTCAAATGCATAAATATTCTAAAGGCAAGAAATAATTAAATTAATATTTTACTAATGATATTGTGTTGACATTATAAATCAGAAACAAAATGGTAAATATAAGGAAAAATATATTAAATATTAACATAATATGATAATAATCAATTGACATTCAATGATTTTTACATATTGAAACCTATTAAAAAGTAGAGCCTTAGTTAAAAACTAAAATATGATTTTATTTTGTTAAGTTGTTTATAAATGTGAAATAAAAACTTTGAGCTTTGTGAATTCACATATGATAATGTGTATGTGGTAACAAAAAAAAAAAAAAATCATAATTATTTAATTATAGCTTAAAACTGAAAAACTTACAGCAACAGCTGGATTCAACAACATTTTCTTTTTGCTCCTTTTGAATGACCTTTTATTTTCACTACATCATCATTTTGATGTGCTTGCCGTTCCTTGGTTTCCTTTTTGTTCCGCAACACTTGTTTAGTAATCGACATAAACATCTATAATAGAGGGTGTATTTAAAAATGATCCAATTGTAGATTAAACAATTTTGTGATGCAATTGTTTATAAATCATAATTTTCATATTCTATTATGTTTTATAAAACTATTTGCTATAATTTAAATTAGTAATTTATCATTATAATGTAAATAAATATTATACAATAGTATTATAATTCAATAGAGTGACATGTTTTATCATCTAATTTTTATAATTATATTATATACACTAAATCCATACATTAATAATAAATCATGATTATATTTATATATATAAAAAGAAATATTGAACTTTTTATTTTAACCTTTTAGAAAGGAAATTATGATTTGGAAAGCAGGTACACAAATTGTAAAAAAAGTATTATGTGATTCTTATATGGAAAAGGAGAAAGTTTAACAAAAATATAAAAAATATGGAAAGAAACCAAAGTACCAATAATTGATTTTAAATGTTTAACAGGTATCTTAAATATTTATAAATTAAAAAATTTATCTATTTTTTTAAGTTGTGATTTATTGTTTTAATTCTCAACTTAAACAAAATTTTAAGAAATTTTGAATTAAACCCTAGTTTGTAAAAAAAAATGTGTAAAAGAGTAAAGTTATAAAAAGTAGAAACATTAGCCTGACTAGTAAAATTAGTAAATTTAGTTTAGACACCCAATATATATACACTATAAAACTATATTTATATAAAAATTATGAATTGGTATTTGCCTTTGGAACACTCATATAATGATTTTAATTTTATCTGTACTATATTATTATTTTTTATTGCAACTGTATTAGTTTATTAATTATTATTTAAATCTTTATAGATTTTGAAATTATTAATTCACAACTTACCTATTATTCTCATAATTAAATTTATCTTTCTCTTTAATTTTGTTAACACTTAATCATTTAATATGTGATTTTCTACCATTAAAATAAGCATTGCTTAAAGATTGTAATTATTTTTTGTAATGTTTAAATATTTGCAATTTTATTATTATTTAGTTATGTTATTACAATAAAATATTTAGTATATAAAAATAAATCAAGACAATCCTGTTACCTGTTCAACATTTATGTTGTCTTTGGCGCTAGTTTCGTATAATTGAATACCCATTTGATCAGCAAATCTTTGAGCATCTTCTGTTAATACAACTTTTCGATCAGGAGCATCATTTTTGTTTCCAACTACGAGAAAAAAAAAAAAACTATAATTGGGTATACCTAATTATTTGACATTTATATTTTTCAACATCAATTTTCATTTCTCTTTGAATTTATGTTAGCAACAATTTATATTAATACTTATAAAGTAGTCAAAACTTTAAATAATGCTTATAAAAATCAATAATAATAGATATTATTGTGTAGTATACAATAATTTTAATATTTAAAAAAAAAGTATTGATGGATATAAAATGCATGGACACTTAAATATTAAAGAACCAGTTAAATTCCCATTACTGTAACAAATGTGACACTTTTTTTTTTGCAAAGTTGAAATATAGAAAATATTTGTAGATAAAATATTGTATTATTTATATATTAATTTTTAATTTGATTTTAAAAATACAGCAGTAATCATTTTAGTTAAATTAGCATACTAGACTTAATTACTTACAATTGGCAATCCTAGAAAAAATCATGCTAAATGTGCAATTGTTTGTGACATATTTTTCTTAGTTTTTATGATGCCATAAATGAATAAAAAAAATATTTTTTTTATTTAACAACACAATTTAATTGAAAAAATAATGAGTAAGATATTATATATTATACTTGTAATACTTAAAATTTGATAAATACTTCACAATAATCATAATTTCTAACTTGTCTCTAACACATATTAAAATATTTTAGCACTTATATACCTAGGTAGGTATAATAAATAGTTAAAGTATGATAGTTTACAATGATAAATTCTGAAAATGTGATTTAATTAAATAATTAAGTATTCTTCACTTAATTATGGATTTAAAATAATTTTTATCAAACATGTTATTTACCTAATATCCTATTAACAACTTCACAGTTTTGGTCTATTTCATGTAACCATCGTTTGACATTTGCAAATGAATCACCATTGGTGACATCGTATACAACTATAACACCATGCGTCCCTCTGTAATACCTGTTAATAAGAAGAATATTTGTAAAAATAATGTATAATTATTAAATAACTATCTAAAATTTAAAATTAATTTAAAATATGGTATGGATTACGTTGATGTAATTGTTCTAAATCTTTCTTGACCAGCAGTATCCCATATTTGTAATTTAACTTTTTCTCCGTCAACAATAACTGTTCTGATTTTGAAGTCGACGCCTATGGTTGTTATATAACTACCAGAAAATGTGTTATCAGCAAAACGAACAAGTAATGAACTTTTACCAACACCTAAAGCAAATAATAATTTAAAAATATATTATTTAGGTATATTAATTAAGAAAATATTATTAGAATGTTTCTCATTATTGATCATTGATTTGACAACCCAAATTGCTTACCACTGTCCCCGATGATCAATAACTTAAACAGATGATCATATTCTTTAGCCATTATATTTATGGACGATTATATTAAAATAATTATGTTCAACAGACAAAATTATTATCTTAATGTGGCATCTATGGAAAAAGCATCTGGTATTGTACACTGTGCACCGACAGCGTAATATTGTCAGAACAGACACTGGTTAACGAGTATGATGAAATATTCTTAAATTGCTTGTTCAATAATAAACGTGTACACTTTATAGAGAAGCATTTAAGTAAAATCATGAAAATAAAAAAATGTCAAAAATACGGAACAAAATGAATACGAATTAAAATTTCTTATTACAATCAAAACATGAATCATCCATAAAAAAACGGAAAACAACAACCGTTCGTTGATAATAAAGAAGTGACACCACGGTTGTAATTCTTGGTAACCCATGCCTTATCGTATGATAAAATGATAATATGATAATATTTAATTTTTCCACAGGCTTATTATAGATATATTAAAGTTTACAATTATTTTTAAGTTTATAATTTTTGGATTTTTTAATCTTATATTTAACTGCATATGAAAGACAATTTTTATTTTGAACAAATTAAAAATTGTCATTAATCTTTGGTTGCATGTCTATATAATTAACTTGGTATTATTAAATGTTTTAGTTTTAAAATTATTATTGTTTGAATCAATTTTAGTCTTCACAATAGTATTATGCATCAAATTATTATTTTGTTTAAAATTGTTATCTGGAGTATTTTAATTACTTTAAGTTTTATGAATCAAATTGAAGCTGATTCACCTCCAATTGTGTTATGGCATGGAATGGGTAAGAAAAAAAACAAAATGTCTAGGTACCTACCTAATATTTTTATTTAAGGTAGATATGTATTAGTATTATTTGAGTGGGTAATAATAGTTAATAATAATAACTACTGTTATTATTATACCTTTATACAGTAGGTTCCGATTTTAACATAGCATTTATATTTTTGTTGGATAATCTTGGATGTGAATTCCATTTTTGAGAAATTTTAGGGAGTATTGAAATACATATTTTAGAATAAATTACAGGATTTTAACCTGTTCAGTGTGTACATGTGCAATACAATATAATTTTAGAAAGCAACATCTATTTTTTAACACTATTTTAATAGTACTATTTTTTTCAAGCAACTTAATTTTTCTCTATTTCAAAAATTATCTCCAATATGGCCATCTAAAGTTCATTAGAAAATATGAACTTTATACATTTTTAAAAACTTTATAACTTGTGTTATTATGCATGTGTTGTTTTATTATTAGTAGTTAACATTTTTTTACTTTTAAAATTAATGAGAAAAAGAACGAAAGGTTGAAAAAAATACAATTTATAGAATGTGTATTTCAGTACTCCTTATCATGTCTTAAAAACGGAATTCAAATCCAAGGTTATTTGGCTAAAATATTTAGTGCTAACTAACTTGAACTTACTGTACCTACTACTACTGTCTACTACCTATATTTTATATATTTATCGATTTGTATGTAGTTTTATAATAAATATTATTTATTTTGACTTTACCAAAAGAATATTATTATATTAATTTGATACATTCGAATAAATAAAATAGGTATATATGTATTAAAAAATATATTAAGTGATTTTTCTATCATAATATAGGTAATTAATGGTTGCGTATTTTATAAGATACTTATCTAATTAAAAATAATGTATTTATTTTAGGTGATAGTTGTTGTAACCCGTTAAGTTTGGGAAAAATTATTAATTTATTAGAGAAGAACCTAGGTAATGATTCTTATGTGAAGTCTTTACAAATTGGAAAATCTTTTGAACAGGTCTCGTATAATTTTCAATATTTATTAAAACCTCATTTTTTAATTTGTTACATGTCAAAACAGATGTTGTGTACTTGATTTTCATAAATTTATATATTATTTTTAATAATATTAATCATTTTGAAACGTTTTAAATTAAATTTTTTGAAATAATTAAAATTTTTTTCTTAAATTATATAAGTTAATTTTTGTTAAAGATTGAAAAAAAATATAATAATAATTTTTAATACCCATATAAATATGCATAATTAATAATTTTTTTGTTTTTTTGGTTTCATCATACATGATTTTCAAAGTTGGAATATGAAATTTTAATCTGAGGTTAATGAAGTTGCATTCTAATAGTTATTATAAAATATATTATTGTAAAATGTAAGTTAATATTTAAAAATATTATAATTTGTAGGTATTGTTAAAATAAATTACAATTACTGAATATATTCATAGTATACATAACTTTTTATCAATAATTCGTACCTATAGCTGTTTATAGTCTTTGTTTATAAATACATTTCACAGTTAATAAAGTTTAAGAGTTCATAATTTTGAAAGCTATTCAAGCCTATGGAATTGTTATATTATTTATATTTGTTAAATATTTATGAAAAACAAAAAACAAAAAATGTTCATTTCGCCTTTTTTAATAATACAGGATGTAAAAAATAGTTTCTTTATGAATGTAAATCTTCAAGTTAAAGATGCTTGTAAGCAAATAACTGCTGATCCAAAGTTAGTCAATGGTTATAATGCTATGGGTTTTTCCCAAGGAGCTCAATTTTTGTTAAGTCAAATCATATTTATACTTTAAAGTATAAACAAATTAGTAATTTTTAAATTATTTTGATTTAGGAGAGCAGTAGCTCAACGATGTCCTAATCCTCCTATGTTAAATCTTATATCAATTGGTGGCCAACATCAGGGTGTTTTTGGCATGCCAAGATGTCTTTATTCTAGTCATAAATGGTGTGAATATATACGATTAATTCTGAATAAAGAAGCTTATGCAAGGTAAATAAATATATTTTTTAATAAAATTTAAATAATTGTAAACAATTTACTATGATACATTTTTAACTATAAATATGTAATTTAATTTATATTGATATTTAAATGATACTTAAATAATTCGTAAATATGTCTATAATAAAGTAAACATATCTTCTATTTTGTGAAGTAATTCTTGTTAAGTATAGAAATGTCTTGTTAAATATAAATTAATAATTGTACCTATATAAATATTGTAATACTTATTTTTAATGAATATTTTATTTTTGATAAATTTTCAGTTGGGTACAAAATTCATTTGTTCAAGCAGAATATTGGCATGATCCAATTAAAGAAAATGATTATATACAAAGAAGCCACTTTTTGGCAGACATAAATAATGAACGTGTCATTAATACAAATTACCGTGATAATTTACTTAAATTAAGGAACTTTGTTATGGTAATGTTCTCTAATGACACAATGGTTATTCCAAAAGAAAGTGAATGGTTTACTTTTTATAAACCAGGTCAAGATAAAGAAATAATGCCACTTGAACAATCTGTGTTGTACCTTACTGTAAGTAATTAGGTAAAAACTAAAATTAACTGTTATCATATTAACACATTGATGGACATTTGTGATATAATTTTTACTGTTATATTAGTAGTGCTATACCTACATCCAAAATCTATGTAAATTGACAGTGTGGACTGCCATAATGTGGTAGTTCATTGTCATCTATGATTTGGTATCATTGAAAAAATTACTGCTTCCTCATTGTTGACGTAATATGTCACTATGTTACTGCTATGAAACTATGAAAGCAAATTTACAAAAGATAAAAGTGTTTGTGTATGGAAGGGAAAATAAAACCAGAGTACAGATAAAAATAATGAGGAAACCAAATAGTAAAAAAAGTAGAGAAATTTACGTATTAAGGGAGCACAATCAGCAATGATGGATGAAATGGGAGTGAAATAATAAAACGTATTTGTCAAGCCAAAATAGCCTTCAACAACAAGAAAACTATTTAAATCAAAAAACATAAGCCTAAAATCAAGGAAAAATCTATTGAAGATGTATGTATGTAATATCAGTGAGAGAACGAAAAGACTGGAGTAGTTTGAAATGTGATGCTATAGAAGAATGTTAAGGATAAGTTGGATGAACAGGTTATCCAATGCAGAGGTGCTGGAAAGTTAATATGGAGAAATATAGTTAGAAGACTAAACGAATAGATAAACCAAATAATGTGACACAAAGGATTGTTAAAACTGATTATAAAAGCAAGCATAGAGAAAGAACCATAGGAAAAAGCCAAGATTAGAGTATAAATAACAGATAATAAAGGACCTTGGTCCTGGATGTAACTCATATGTAGAAATGAAAAGGAAAGCCAAAAATAGAGAAGAATAGAAGATGATGCAAACCAATTTACAGATTACTATAGCAGTAGTGTCTGTCAATGTGTTAAGTTTATTTGGAAATCTCTTTTATCATTCTTAAGGCACACTATACACCTTATGTCCTTACATACTATATGATCAGGCCGGGCTGACAGGATAATTTTTTCAAGTCAGATATCATAATATATCAGGTCTTGTGTGCTCATCATGTGTGTCGTCTGATTAATATATTTACTAAATCTGATTGTGTTTAGCGTTGTCCATTAGATTTTCTTTTGATGTTGATGCATGCACTATGGAAATAAAATTCAACTGACCAAATCATGCAATGGTTGTGCCATATGTACACTTCCTGATTTGGTCAAGCTATTTGTTGGTCTATTCAAATCATGTAGTTTGTAGGGGCCTTAATAGAATTTTAATAAAACTAAATGTAGCGATAAACTTGTAAATATTATAAATATTAATGTATTAATGTTTAAAAAAAAATAAATTATCATCTCGAAAAAGAAAAGAAGATTCTGATTATACCTTAAAAAGGTAGAGTGAAAATTTTGATTCCTACTTTCTAAAGTACTCCTTCGTTTTTTGTTTAGTTCAAAATTTATTCTGAAATACCTTCTTTTATGGTTTATTTAGCCCTCAAAACTATCCCATTACACAGCCAAACATTCAATCATCTCTGTCCTTCGATAATATCCTCCAATTAGAGCCACCTTGTAACTCGTCAATTTCCTTTTTTATATCTTTTACATCTTCCCAGCACAACTTTGGTCTTCCCAAAGGTCGTCCAAGCAGATTCTGTTCAAGCATCGTAGTGTGTAACAACTTATTTTGGGTTCTCCAAGCATGGCCAGCTCATTATAAGCTTCCTCTTCTGATAACTTCTGAAATATCCGCATTACTATATGAGGTTTCTAGCTCTATATTCTTTTTCCGTCTTCACTCTCTAGTTATATTATCCTTGATTGGTTTATAGAATCTCTGCAGAAAATTTTTCTCATAATTAATGAATTTATTTTTGTTAAAATTGTTATTTTTTCTTAAGTGACCAAGTTTGAGATCCATACAAGAGAATTGTTCACTTTGATACTTCTTGCATGAGATTAAAAATATAATATATGAGCTTCAAAGTAACCTGACATTGTGAAAACATCTATTGATTATTTATTATTAATAACCTATGATATTAATGTTTAACATTAAATTATTTTTGTGTTTTCCATTAGGATCGACTTGGTTTAAGAGTTTTAGATGAAAGTGGGCGACTACATTTTTTATCTGTTCCTGGAAATCATCTAAAATTTTCTGAAGAATGGTTTCTGGATGAAATTGTTAATACATTTCTTAAAGAGTAACACTATTGTATTACAATTATTATAGTTTTAATTACACTAATAATAGTTATTAAATTTAATAAATAAGATGTCATATTTATTATTATACTTGCGTCGCTTATAAATGAAATACAATAAAATTGATCTTTTTAACATATCATAATAACAAAAAATATTTATTATTTTTAGATTCTGATTGGAGCAAAGAAGCTTATGGTTTTACAAAGATGTTTATTTTTTTTTCTTTAGACAACTTTTCTACCAGAAAACTTGATTTATTTTTTATGTGTAGCAACTTTTCCATTAAGAAATTGGTGTAGGGAGGTCCCTTAGAGAGGTCATTTTTCGATTTTCTCTGGAGTTTTCTAAGCAAATGTGAAAAACTGTGCAAAAACATGAGAAAACTGGGGAAATTGGTATAACTTATATTTACATTTCTAGATGTGAACATTTTTTCAACGAAAACTAAATTTTCTTTACGTAATTTTTATTTGATAAGTACTCTGTGGATAAAACTGTAAGACAGCTAGCCATACACGTTCCGGTTTGCCGGAGAGATCGGCTTGCACAGTTTTTCCAGAACGTGTGTGTGACAAGTTTGCGCAGTTTTTGGGAACTGTGAAAAACGATTCTTTTGGCCTATGCAGCCATGACTCTGTACAGGTATACTGGAACGTGTATGGCTAACTTAAACAGAAACGTTTGAAAATTTAATAAGAGATTTATTAGAAATCTACTTATAGTCTGTCTCACGTACCACTCGCGCTTGCCGACGGAGCTCCACACCATCAACATAGAATTCCCTTGCGCGTCGCTAGCTCACGCGTGTATCTGGTAGAAACCAAGTTTAAACAAGGAGTGGCGTGAGGGGATGTGCGTCACTGACCGGTTTTTGATAAAACGGTACATATCTTTCGTTAGACAGAGTATAATGGTAAAAAAAAATTGAGTTAGTAATACTATACTATGTATACTCCATCTAGCGAGAAAATATGTTACTGGTTGATTAACATCGGTCCGGTTTTGCTCATCCCTGCGCGTGCCGTCATTGTGTTTTCACCTGTAGACTGCCCAGTGACCAACGACGGTTGTCACTAATTGTCAGCTCGTTATCTTGCTGGAGTGAGTATAATTTTAGACCGTGATATTAATTGTTTTTTTATCAACATGATTTCTATATACCTAATATTAAACCAAGAACCTAGTAAAACTCGGTAATAACTTCAAGAATAATAATAGAATCGATAAACAGAGTACCTACCTTACTAACTATTGTTATTGTTCGTACAGTTAGTCAATGCCATTGCATACGGATTTACCTAGTTTTGCAGCTTTATTATTTTACCCAGGATATACTACTTTTTGGTATGCAAGTACCAATGGACTTACACTGTTTTGCCACTACATTCAATTTTTTAATTGAAAATTAAATATGATATAATAGGTTTTGGAGCTTAAAAAACTTGTATGAACAAAGGATAATAGACTAACAATAAAAAAATGACACAACATCCATTTCGGATGAGATTGGACATACGACCTTTTGCATTGAAAGTAATACACAAGAGTATTTGTTTAACATTTTTTGGCACAATATAGAAGAATAATTAACTTTAAACTCAGTGCTGCAACAATTGGGTTTGCAAGGTGTGCAATGCACACGAGCTTCTAGTTCTAAGGGGCCCCCAAAAAACAAAAATTAAAATTGAAAATTATCTGTTTTAAATATTTTTGACTTCTTTGTAGCTCATGCCACGAATATTTTTCGATTTTATGTAGTTGCTTTTCAATTAAATTTATTGTAGGCATAAGTATTAAATAGATAATAATAAAATATTAGTAGTATGGAATTATAGTAGTACCTACCAAAATGTATATTATTAAGATGGTTTTAGAATAAACGGGCACAGATACGATAACATTTTCATTTGATATCTGAATACTATATCTAAAGTATTACAAAGTACTGATATTTCATTAGAAAATGCGTCTATGCTTCTAGATAAAGCTATTCAAAATATGCAACATTTGCGAAATGTCTTATCGTTTTTGATTATATTATTCGAACTAACTGTTTTAATAATGCATAAAGTGAAGGAAGGTGTTTAATTTTTTATTAATTATTATTTCTTTGTATTTTTTTAATAAAATAATTAATTCGTTTTATGCATATATTTGTTGCAAAATAAGAATATTTTTGCATATTTCTTCTTCTTCTGGGCTTTTACAGGCCTTTAAGGCCCATCGCCGCAACAACATTTGTATTGTTTCCATCCCTCTCTATCATTTGCACATTCTTCTGCGTTTCTTACGTTCAGAAGTCCTAAGTCTTCCCGTATTATATCGTATTCCATCTTTGTCTGGGGCGTCCTCGAGGCCTTTTAATGTCGGGTTTCCATTTAGTTATTGATCCAATAATTTCCTCTGACCTCCACACATGTCCCGCCTAATTTTTTATATTTCTACATTTTTAAATACCTATTGTTATGAATTTTTAGTCATAAACATCTGATTTTTAGATTAATATCACTTACCTTTTTTCTTTTTTCTGGTTAACTGACAGCAGTGGGAAATCAGTTTTTCACATTGCTACCTTATTAATGCTATTGTTTATTAATGATTATAATTAAGTAATGCTTTGTAAAATCCTGTTTTCCCCTTCACGGAGTAGGTTCACATTATTGACTATACTAATTAAAACTAAGGTGAGAGGTAGGACCGCGTCACTTCCTGATATTATGCTGGCTTAATCTAACCCTGTACACGATGTTGAGCCGGTGCGGTACGCGGGGGTAACCCTAAGAGCTGTGGCTCTCTGCGCTCTGATCAGCGAGTTACGACATTTGGCGATCTTGGTCGCGTGCTCAGCCCACGTCGAGGCTGCGGAAAGCAGTCTACCGCCGAAAATATCACTTACCTAAAATAGGTTATTCTTCTTTTTCTCCTTTGTTTTTAAATATTTATATGAAATAATCATTAATTATTTATTTATAAAAACAGGCTATCGTCCACTTATTAACATAATAAAAAGTTATTCAAATTACATTATATTAAAAAAAAAATTATAATTATTTTAATTTCATTTTTCGGTATTTTTATTCAATTCCTACACTCATGTTAAGATGGCAGCAAACTTGCAATAAAATAAACCGTGTGTTTTTGAATAATCGGTAAGTACAATTAATAGACCCGTGGTGTATTTGTGTTAAAACCGGCTTTAGAATAATGTCGTGGTCGCGAGGGGCGGTCGTGTTGGTCGCGTTGCAGATATTGACAGGCTACTGTGAATCCCTAGGAACCGAATCCTCTATCTTCCCAGAAGGGTCGGAATAGGTTCCTCCCAGCTTGTGGGTCTCCGATTTATTTTATCAAGCATTGGCTAATTTTACCGTACCTCCGAAATTACACCAGTTGGGCTAACAGAAGTAAGAGTTCGAAATATTATTATATAGACATAAATTTTACTAGTATATCTACAACTCGAACATAAACAAAATTATGATATACGTACGTTATATAGGTACCTACTTAAATGGTTTTTATTTTTCGTGTATATATATACAATATATTATATATTTAATTGGATATTAACTGTTCCGCACAGCATTATAGCACCCAATATTGAACGAAAAAAAGTTAAAATCACAAAGGTGTCTAACCGTCATTCGTTGTTTCCCCGTGTCAGTGGTATGCGTTGTTGCGTGCAGTTGTGACGATGCCAAATTTTATAGCAAAGCTATTTACAAAATACTTTTGCGAAGGCTAAATAGCATAGGTATAATCGATGATGGAATATTTGAGCAAAGGGAGGCATTTGCCCTGTCTTTCGGAAATACATTACAAATGAATAGTGAATATATACTGAAAAAAAAATAGGTTTTTATTAATATTAATAAAATGGTTTTATAAGATGAAATTAGATGATTAATTACAATCAAAAAGCACATCGAATTATAAACGCCGAATCATATTTCGGAATACTTATTAATTTTTTTTAATAAGAGATATTAGCATCTGTCAGAAAATTGATAAGAGATTTTTTCTGATTCAGTTTGAAATATTGCCAACGTTGAACAACAAAATGTTTGTGTAGACATTTTCATTATCAGAAAAAAAAACCATCAATAACGTATTTATTTTTTAGTGTGTTGATTTTCTTTTTAAAAGAATTTATATATATATATATATATATATCATAATAATTTCTGTACAATGGAACAATTGATTGATCACGATTATATGTTGTAAGGTTAGGATCTATAAAGCCAAAATATCTAGAAATGTTTTCCTCATCTATCTGTGCGGCCACAGTTGTAGGTGGGTAGACGGGAAGGTGAAATACATAAGGTTATTTCATTTATATCTGTAAGCAACGATAAACTATTGCTGATGAAAAACGATTCTGAGGGTCCGTTTCTGTAATACAAAAATTAAAAATAGGAAAAAAAGTCGTCCGATGATTTTCAAAATTTTACCACGTTTAATAAGTCCAATATAAGTATAATTATCAAGTTTCAAGTGTCTATATGTATTTATAACCGAATAGCAGCAAAAAAAACTCCTAAAAACTAAACCGGCTACTGTCTGATGGTTCATAACGATATAAATATTACAATATTATTGTATTCATAAAAAAAAATTATATCTACTTTATTACCGTACATTTTAAAATATATTTAGTTAAAAGAAACTTAATAGGCATTAAAAGATTTAAGTTGATAAAATAACCAAACTTAGGAAACTTTTTTTATGAATTTTGAGATGAAAATTATCAATGTAACGGTATATTTCCTTAGGCGTAGGATATTAAAAATTATTATTTTCTTTAATTTATTGTATTCAACAGAAATAACAGTATTATAATATTCCACGAAACGGTTATACCCTAACTTGCTAAGCCGGTTGGTTGGTGTTTTTGTGCGAATGCTGCCAAATAGTTTTTCACCGGTTTTCTCTAAAATAATTTTGCTGCACGACGACTTAACCATTAAAAAAAAGAAAAAATTTACTGGTCTAATAAAAAATGTGCTATGCATGTATTATTTTTTGAGTGTCACTGTATTTTATGTAAGTATTTGGATTTAAAATATTTACGTTTAATACATGGAAAATTTGATAACTTTATAAACCATACCTAGTATAATATAATACTGGTGTATACGTTAATTTTTTCGATTGTAATTTTCATGTTATTAATTATTTAGTTGTTGTAACGAGAACCTAAATGATTAATTTTTATTTATTACTTTGTATACAGAAAATAATAATAATAATATCTTCTGAAAAAAATTGAACACAAATTGTAACATTAACTTGAATTATGAATGTATTTTTATCGGGTAATTTTTTTTTAACACTAACACGACGACGCTGATTTATCCGGTGCTTTAAAATCGATAGGTTTTAGAGCTAAAATAACTTAAGAGTTAAATAACTTTATACATTTTACCTTCCCAACTTTCCATCTTAAACAGTACCATGCCCATAAGCTAAGTAGTATCAGCTCTATTTTAAAAATTGTATTTAATAAACTAAAAAAAAGAAATTGATTGAAACAAAAGGTCATATACTGAGCAATATCACAAATCCAACTCCTGGAATTGCCTAACATTATCTTCTTGTATCTTCTTATAATACATTTATGTAATCAAAGTGATTTTCGAGATAGTCATTGCTCATAATTAAAATAATAATAGCCCACTTATAAGCATAGCTTTGAACAACAAAGCTATTCTCAAAAATTATTCTATTGGTTATCATAAATTTTAATAGTAAACTATACACTATAATAAGTAATATAGTAAAAAAAGTGAAAATAGACGATGATTTTCCAAATTTTTAACAGTTTTGTAATTTTTATTCATACTTACTCAGTAGCGTATTTATGGGGGTGTTGTAGTGAATATGTCAGCTTCTTTAATTTTTTTTTTCTTACGAATTGAATATTTGCCGAGGTTTGTTCATTTTGTTATCCTGTGATTGAAATTACGTAATAATAACAACAAAATACACATAGGATTTTCTAAAAAAAAATATGTATTTAAACCATATGAAGTTGTGTGTGTTTGTTTGATTATAGACTAGACTAAATACCTGCAAGTTGACCAACACTATAATACTATTTTGTTTCATAGAAGTTGAGATCACAACAGTTATCAATGAGTTGTGTTTAATAAACCGAAAACTTGAATTTCTTTTAAAAATAAAAAAACAAAATATCAGCATAATTTATTATTGTATTATGTTAATGCCTTAGTTCGTGAGTAAAAAAGTCGTTTTTGATTTTTATTGATTTATCAGTAGTAATTTTTTTGCTGCTACCTAAGTATCATAATGACCATGCACGATTAACAGTCACAGCTAATTTTTCAATGGTAGTGGCCAGAGTAACTTTCGCTATGCAAGTGAATAAAAAAAAAAAAAAAAAAACAATACAGTTAATAGTTAGTGATGGAATAATCGAATATCGGTTATTAGTTATAATGTGAATAATTGTGGACAATATTTTATTTGTTTTAGTTTTATAATAAAAGGATAGGTAGGTATATTGGTTTCAAGAGTAATATACATATAGAATATACAATATTATTATTGATAAAAATAGTTATTCAATAGTTTATATGAATAATCGAATATTATTCGCTAGCGGTTATCACTAAACATAGGTAAATCGATTATTACATTTTATTTTGGTTATTAATAAAGACCGGATTTAATTGCCTTTAAAACACACAAAAATTGCACATTAAAGTTATATAATTGCATCAAAAAATACGTACAAATTGCATAATAAATTGTACTATAAAAATGCAAAAGTTATAAAAAAAAAAAAATGAGATAAATGTTATTTTTAAAATTAAAATTGATAATTAAATACATTTATAAATTATTTTCATTAAAATAAAATCTTCTATTACTTAAAACTTTCAATCGCGTTTTTAAACTCTAAAATTATTTGCTTAGAAAAGTGCAGCATTTAACCATGTTCCCCAACTTGTAATAATGGTGGTAAAGGTATAGCCGGCATTTCGTTTCTGTATTTATTTATTCTCGATGGTGCTTTTAGGAAAGATTTTTTTCCTGAAATAAACGAAATAAGTTACACATGTATTTAAATTTTAAATAGGTACTTAATTACTTAATATATTACCATTGTTAATCAATTTATTATTGTCGGAATACAATTTTCTTATTTTCTCTGAAACTCTATTATCTGCGTGCGCTATACATATAATATGAATTGATTTCGGGAAAAATATGTTTAATTGTTTTTGCTGCTTTGGTCATATAATTACCAGCACCACTAATAAAAAGTAATACTTTTTGTTCAATACCAGGAAATATTTTTAACGCGTTATCAATAAACAGACAAATAGTTTTATCATAATTGGTGGATTCTAGTTCTTTACATGCAACTAAATATGATTTACTAGGCGTCCCGTCTATTTACCAATTAATAAATTTGCACTAGCCAAACCTAAACGAAAATAGTATATTTTATTACATGAGAAAATAAAAAAAATGATTTATACAAACCTCTTGGATTGGTTGTTTCGTCGATAATTATGTAAACGTAATTATTTCAAAAATCACTAATTATTTGGTCCATAACGCTTTTATAAATATTTGTTATGTAATTTGTTCTTAAAGTGCTTTCGTCCGGAATTAATTTGCCAGTGTATTTTTCCAAAAATGATTTTAACACATGATGCTTATGCAAAGGTATAATTGCAGCAACAAACGCATTATATAGATTTTCGAAAAATACATTTTTACCATTCGAATTTTGAGAAGTAATCAAAAGCTGTTTTTTTCTTCATTATTTTGTAATGCATTTATGTGATAAACTAAACAAAATATATATATGTATTTTAAAAATAATATGTAGTATATTACGTGTAGTATGAACGTAAATTACAAAATTGACTTGTTTTGAAATGATGATCTAATAGATTTATAATATACAACAATTTTTTCAGTAGACACAGATTCATTATATACGAAACAATATATATGCTTTCCATCTGATGAAAATCTTTTTTATTTTCATTGTAAGGAGCAATCCAATTCGAAATTTTACTTTTTAAAGTTGATTTTATTTTAGGCATTATGTCGAATACGTTCACTGTGCGGTCAAACTGATTAACGAAATAGGTACTAAGATACCATCAGGTAACGGACGCGAATTGTTGTACTACCACGTTGAATTTAATTACTACCATATATAAAGACGCTTATCATTCGATGGGCTTCCAAGCTTCTAGAAAATTTCAAACAAGCGATTAACGTCTATGAATTTAAAAAAAAGTGGGAAAATTGCAAAATATTGAATTTTAAAATTAAAATAGGCAAAATATTTCTAGTATATATCGGTTATATATTTATAATTAAATTTGATTTATCTTTATCATAAAAAAAGTTGTAATATCAATTAAATCGGATCTTTTTACCAATTCTGACATCTTAAATTAAGTTAAGGAACATAATTATATAATTTGCAAATATTCAACCATAAATTTTACAACTGGGTCGAGTTAGATTTGATGGCCCTGAAAAGGGCCTTTTTCAATAGATTTACATTTTAATAATATACGTATGTTAACCGCCGAAACCGTAAAGGGTACGACCTTGACGTTTTAAAGCATAAACAACATCCATGGCGGTAACCGTCTTCCTTTTAGCATGTTCGGTGTAAGTGACGGCATCACGTATTACGTTTTCCAAAAACACTTTCAATACACCACGAGTTTCTTCGTAGATTAATCCGGAAATACGTTTGACACCACCGCGACGAGCCAGACGGCGAATGGCGGGCTTTGTGATACCCTGGATGTTATCACGGAGTACTTTACGATGCCGTTTCGCTCCGCCCTTTCCAAGACCTTTTCCTCCTTTGCCACGACCTGTCATATTTACTTTTATAAATGCTAGTTTATAGATTTAATATATAGAACAATTGCCTGCCGATCACTGAGTGAGGTTATTACAAAACGTCGGCCAGTTTTAAGCATTTCATTAGACGATTAGACCAATCAGAACGTTCGAATTGACGATGCTACATACAAACACACACACACACACACACACACACACACACTCCCTATGACCAATGAGAGCGCTACCAATGGTTCTCGGTTTTGTATATATACTACCCGTATACGACTATTGGTTATAGTATTTGTTCATCATCTGACCGTCCATCAACCGTTGTTACTGTAGCATCATGGCACGTACCAAGCAAACCGCTCGTAAATCAACTGGCGGTAAGGCGCCGAGGAAACAACTGGCCACCAAAGCAGCTAGGAAAAGCGCACCGGCTACCGGCGGAGTGAAAAAACCTCATCGTTATCGTCCGGGTACTGTGGCACTCCGTGAAATCCGCCGTTACCAAAAGAGTACAGAACTATTGATCCGCAAACTGCCTTTCCAACGATTGGTCCGTGAGATCGCCCAGGATTTCAAAACCGATTTACGGTTCCAGAGTTCCGCCGTAATGGCGTTGCAGGAGGCTAGCGAAGCGTATTTGGTGGGTCTTTTCGAAGACACGAACTTATGCGCTATTCACGCCAAACGTGTTACAATCATGCCGAAAGATATTCAATTGGCGCGTCGTATTCGTGGAGAGCGTGCCTAAATTATATTTCTTCAACTGGTTGATTTATAACGAATTATAAAAGAGCCCTTTTCAGGGCTACCAATTTATTATTATAATACTTTTATTTTAATTATGCATGCACCTCACGAGTGTGGATTATTTTGGAAATATGTAAACATAATCCCAACATTCAAAACGTCAAACAACGTAAATAGTTGAATTGATTAAATAATTATATACATTTTTTTTTTTAATAAAACGATAATAATAATAATAATAATGCGCATTATGCTTTATTATTTTTAAGCGATACTTTTCCATGCAAAAATAAATAGCATAACACAATAAGGATTAATTGGGTCGGTAAATCGTTTTAAAATATGACATTATCTTTATATGTCGTCTTACTCTCTTATACCTTTATACATCATGTATAAGTATAATAGATTCCTTATTTTTTTCAAATACACCAATATAATTTTAATATTCTTTCAGTCTGTACTCGTTTGCAAGTTTGAACTTGACATTGAACAGTTGATTTTTCAATAACTATTTGTTTTAAGCAATTTATTTTTGTTTGTTCTATTAATATTATTTATTATAATATAATATATGTATAAAATAGTTTAAATATTGTTATTACTTCTGATAAAATTACAGTAAGAAAAATAAAATGGGATTCCAAAATTCATAAAAATTCCTTACACAAAGGTATCAGACCGTGGTCCTTTTGGTTAATTTCTTTTTAATATATGATTGGTTATTATTAAATCAGTCGGCCCTCCATACTCTAAAATAAAACTTAAAATATGTATGCAAATTAAACAAATATTCTCTAAAAAAATATGTTAAATTATACTTTTAGAAATATTTTCCATTATTTTGCATTAAAAACCCAAATTTTACATCTTTCCTTTTTTTTTTTATGACAGGACGTTTAGTAAGTTATTGCAATTATGTAGTCGAAAACTCATTGACTAATGTTTATATGATAAACATACTAAACAATTCATTGATTCGATTCAAAATCTTTATGTTTTATTTGATACTTTAAAACCACATTTTTTCATAAGTGTTACTTTAAAAGAAATGTTGTTTTATCTTGTTATTAATTAATCTATGTACACTAATAGGAATATTAATAATAATGTATTAAAACTACATAATGGTTGGAAACGTGTCTCGTAGTCGTAATCGCTTCCACAGAGCCCTAGTACTTGCGTGTATTAACCATTTTTTAATTGTTTCACCGTAATATCACCATGAGTGGACGCGGCAAGGCTGGCGGCAAATCAAAAGGAGGTAAATCAAAGACTAGATCTTCTCGTGCCGGACTTCAATTTCCCGTTGGTCGTATTCATCGTTTGTTGAAGAAAGGGAACTACGCCGAACGAGTCGGTGCCGGCGCTCCAGTTTATCTTGCCGCCGTTATGGAATACTTGGCCGCCGAAGTATTAGAATTAGCCGGTAATGCCGCCCGTGATAATAAGAAGAGTCGTATCATTCCCAGACACTTACAATTGGCAATTAGAAATGACGAGGAATTGAACAAATTGTTGAACGGCGTCACCATTGCCCAAGGCGGCGTGTTACCAAACATTCAAGCTGTTCTCTTACCCAAAAAAACGGAGAAGACCAAAACAGCTTGAGACTTTGCTACAGAATAATATTTTGTCATATAATACCACCGAAAAAAGAGCCCTTATCAGGGCCACCATATTTGATTTTCCAATACACAGTTATCACGATTATACAAGTGCTAGCTAAATATATATATTGATATGATATTATTTTATTTACCATAAACTTGTTAAAATAAACATATTGATGGATATAAAATGCATTAACACACTTTAGTGTTAAAGAACTAGTTAAATTCCCATTACTGTAACAAAATGTGACCTTTTTTGGATATAAGAATATATAACAAATAAAATTTGATAAAAAAATTTTAAAATATTAATTGTTTGGTAAATAGTTGATAAAAATTGTTTTAAATCTAAAATTAGGTATTCTTCTTAAATCATATTTTCAGAATTTATCATTTTTAACTGTTTATTAACCTACTTAGGTATATAAGTGGTGCTTATATATTTTAGTATGTGTTAGATGTGTTATGTATTGTAAACGCTCGAACTGTATATTGTCGGAAAATAAATTATTAATCACGAATCGTATAACCTCGGGATCTTGGAAAACGTTTGACCATTTTTGCAATTCTCGGATACACACAACCGGGCGCGTATTATCAAACCTTACAATGCCCGTATACCTTTCTACCACGTTTTTAGATTCGTAGCGGAGCGAGGAATGTTTTGGTTTTACAATGATGTTTATTTCTTTTTTATTTCTTCCAAGTTATGCCACTAGTAGATTAGTGATAAAATGAGAATATTTCAAAAAACTGTCTCAAACAAGCCTTAATAATTGTCATTAAAAACAATTACAAGATCGTTTAAAAATCAAAAGGATTCAACCTCAAAAATATTAAATAAGGGCAACTAAAATAATGGTAATGTAACTCCTTAGAGCTACTAATTTCTTAAGTTGCGAAAAAAAAAAAAAATGCGAAAAAAGTTAATATTTTCCGAAATAATGATTGTCTTATAGATTCTATAATATAGATACAGTCTGTATAAGGTTTGTTAATAAGCGATCGGGACCAGCAACGGTACGCGTAACTGCCTATATTTTTTCCACGAAATCCATTTCATAATTACGGATCGGAAAAACATGTTTTCCGGAATTACACGGATCACGACTATCTTTTATTCATTTCCGAAAACATACATACCGGGGTTTATAAGGTTTTCGGTAAAATACAGTGTTTACAATCTGGGAACAAACAATCCGTACAGTTACGTTTTCATGTTTTTAGATTCCAGGTTTTTACGGTCTGTGACTATACGGTACACAAATTTTCTTTTTCCGCAGTGATACATTCCGTGAAAATACACTTTTATTCCGGAATTTCACGATCCGAGATTTTAAGGCTTTTCAACTCGGGTTTGTTATTAATAGTACGGCACGTTTTCCAGTTTCATAATTATTTAACTGTAGGTAATATGGCGTTTAAACCCTTAACAAAAAACTATCCACCCGATATCTGCCACTTATAGGCATCACTTGTAAGATGCGGGTGAGCTAAGGGGACTATCAAAATTTCTTACAGTTTCTTTGAAAATGAGCATGCAGTAAATGGTTTGTTACCTTTTTATTTTTTTTCCAAAATACGTACTAAACAAGGATAGTTTAGCCCCCTTTATCCTACGCTATGCTACCACTGATGTTTTGACACCTAAACATTGCGTCTAAAAAACACCTTGAGTTTTTTTTAATTAAAATACCATGATTCCGTTACTTTTTTCATGGGTTTTGTTAGTAATTCTCTGGAAAGAGGAAAAATTCAATAACCATCAAATCCGAAAATCGAATAGGACTACTGTTTTATTATTGTAGGTACCTATAAATTATTGTAGTAGATCCTACACTGGTAATTCTTTTCGTTTTTTTTTTTTCATGCAGATGGGGTGTAAGCCGATTGTTATGTCTATATATGGTTGAATCATCGTCATTGGTGTAAGGTAAATATAAGACGGAATAAAACAACATATATTTTTAAATAAATGCCTTTAATTTATGTGGTTTTTCCTTGGTTTTTTTATAGTAGCGTACATTCAAAAGAACATTTTTTTGCAGTTCATTATAACCAAAAATAATGTTGATTTATATCATCAATAATGGTTACGTTACTCAATCACGTTTCTACTTTTTTCCATTGTTCTGTACGGGTAAACCGTATAAATATATGTGAAAACCTCGGGATCGACATCAGTTCTTCCCAGTCGATCGTCTTGTACTCTACGAACACATTCTATTTAACAAATAACATGGCTCCAGGAGGTAAAACCGCCGGCGGAAAAGCAATGAAGAAAGCCGCGGGTAAAGCGCAGAAAAGCGTTGTGAAATCCGACCGCAAACGTAAACCAAAGAGGAAAGAGTCCTACGGCATTTACATTTACAAAGTTCTGAAACAAGTCCACCCCGATACCGGCGTCTCGTCCAAAGCCATGAGCATTATGAACAGTTTTGTCAACGATATTTTCGAACGTATCGGCGCTGAGGCCGCGCGCTTGGCGCTGTACAACAAACGTTCGACGGTGACCAGTCGGGAAATCCAGACCGCCGTCCGTCTCCTGTTGCCCGGTGAATTGGCCAAACACGCTGTCAGCGAGGGCACCAAAGCCGTCACCAAATACACCAGTTCCAAGTAGTTGTAACTAGAAATGATGCGCACCAATAAAATTTTGTAGACCTAAAACGGCCCTTTTCAGGGCCATCAGATATTTATCGAGTCGATTCCCTCCTATATATGTCTTCTTTTTTTTTAGTTGACCTATCGACTGTTTGGTGTGTGTATTATTTATTATTGCAGTTCTATCCCGTTATAATAACAAATCGTGTACAAACAAATGCATATTTATCATATGAGATATGTACTTTGTAAATCATTGAAATACTGCGTATTGAAACGTATTCGGACAAGACCGTATTAAATGAACCGAATCTCGAGTTTGTCAGGGGGTTGTTTATAAATAATAAATTTATCAACTTAACGTTTCCTTGTCGTAGTCCGTTATTAATATTGCACTGATCGTTTTAACATTACAATGCGGTCAGCGTGTGTTCATTCACAACCGTAGTTTTATAGGACAACGCATTTCTTAGGATAACAATCGCCGTTCGACGGACGACATATTGAACATTAGACCACGTACAATGTACAGAGTTACGTTTATACCTCCGTGCGAAACGAGTGGCCACCATATCAAGGGGGCGCGTGTAGCTACTGCGCACGCGTAGTCTTCTTCATTATACCACTGATTGGATAATTTGTGACAATGCCATTAATAAAACCCATATTGGATATCCATACGTATATTTTACATAGAACTACATATTACGATCCTGTAGTATTTTATTTGATAGGTTCTCTTAGTATATGACTTACGGATGGGACGCATCACGTATTCCAGTGTGATCGAAGTGTGGTTACCAAAGAGGTTACATTTAATCAGGGTGTGGCACCAATCGTAGGGGTGATAACCGGAATATTCACCGGCTGTCTGACGGTTACCGGAATAAAAAAAAATTCGGAATATAATATCATTTACGGGCAAATTAACAAGTAATTACAATAGAAAAAGAAAACCGGCGCGAACAGCTTGATAAAAACGAGGATATCTGTAACCACGTATAACCATTATGGTGGCCAGTAGGCTCTTCACAGTCGCGAACATTTTCTCTACATCGTGCCCACGGAAAATACCGTGTATAGTAGGTAAAGGGATGTCCTATCCGCGTATATATTATTATTATCTATGATTTTACTGTCGTGCATTAGTCGTTCTATCACAGTAAAAGCACCGTCTGTGTCTCCGACCGCAGCATAATAAAATGTATAGCTCGTTTATTAGCGTTCAGGCGCTGTGAACATTACGTTCTATAGTGCCCTATTGGCGTAAGGTGCCTGTATGATTCAAACGATCCAAAGTCTCTCCATGCAGCAGATATATGTGAAAGGATTTTTTTGAAAATTGTATTTATTCATGCCCGGGCAGCGGTATAGTTACTGATTTCGTGAAACATTATCGCGTTGTAATTCGATCCGATTAAAATGTAAATGGATGTCTGTTAATTAAACCTTCGCAATTGACGGCACATTAAGTACGGGGATAATTTTCAACTATTATTTCGATTAATCACAATACTGAAAACCTTGATGATTTGTCTTTTATGATAAGTGCATGGGTGTTACTACAACAGTAACAACAAAATATAATATGTCTTTATGTTCGTTTATTTATATAATAGTCGCCTTCACGCGTATCGATTTAGGATGTTTCAAGTTACAAATGATTCTTGGGTAGGTATTATTAGGTTCCATAGGTACACGGGTGCATAAACTACGACAGTATACATATTATACATCTCTATAAAAATAATGTGTACATGTTTTTTTTTTTTTTTTTTTTATCTATGTATCTGTTTCCCATGGTCGAAGTATGTTCATAAAACTTATGAAACCGCCAACGTAATCGTTATTTTTGTTCAAAACCTTGACCGTTACTTTATACCTTCCGTAAAAGAACGTTTTTGGAAAATTATTATCACCGACGTCGTATATATTCATACCCGACGATATGTATGTACCCTGTAAACGACACAATTTATTTCTACTAAGTTTTTTATACTTTCGAACGATGTCGCAGCTCACCAGTATTGATACCCGACATACCGACTACCGCGGTATGTCAGAAACCCTACCGCAAGAGGCTATACAAAAGTCCTTCTAGTCCAAAACTCAATCAATTCTGTCGCCAGCGGCGTAAATAGGGGAATACAGGGAACACGGTCGCATTAGTGCCCAAAATCTAAAGGACCTTACTGCCTTTCCAGGACACTGTTTTGCTGTCATAAGCGAAATTATTTACACGTTGAACAAAATAATCATCCAAAATATTATCTTGTATATTATTATTTATTACGACTGCCATTTAAATCAATGATTACAGTGAAACCTGCCTTAACAAACACTTTTTTCAACGCACATTTTGAGGTCCCGACAAAACGATACAGGGTTTCCCGGATAGGGTTAGGTTAAGACTATGACGGATGCGGTTGATAATATATTTTTGGTGGAAAGTTAGTAAAGTAGGATACACGAGGGAATTTAATGTATATCTGTAAGCAACGATAAACTATTGCTAACGAAAAAACGATTCTGAACGCAGTTCAGTTGATACTGATGCTTTGTCAATAATATATATGTTATATTATGGTTAAGTAATTAAATAAGTATTATATATTTTCTTTAATAATACTTGTTTAATATTATACCGATTTTCACGTTTTTTTTTGCGTTTTCCCCGGTTTTTTCATGTTTTTTACCAGTTTTCAATATTTGCTGGGGGAACTCGTGGGAAAATCGAAACATTATCCCCTCCCCCTAAAGTACCTCTCCATTTAGATTTCTTTTAAGAAAAAATTCTATCAATGTTATTCAGGTAAAAATTTCTGATAGAAAAGTTGTACACAGAAAAAAAAAAGGTCATAATATTTTTTTACTAATACCTACATTTCGTACATTTTCCGTTTTTTCACAGTTTTCCCGATTTTTCTCAGATGTTGTGAAAACCGCTTGAAAAACAATAATATACTGTTGTAACTTATTAGTACCTACAGATTATTTTAATTTTAATTGAGTTCATAAGTCATAAAATTACTCATCATGATTTCACAAATAGTTTATCAAAGCAATCGTATTTTAATCTATGGTATAAATTTATAAGTAGTATTATAGCTGAGTAAATTGAGCAGTAAATTAAGCTATGGAGGAAAAAACAAAATAATTTTTCTATTGTAAAACCCGTTTTTTAAATTTAAAAATATGGGTTTCGGTTCTGGTTATTTGAAAATTTTTAAATTCAGTTCCGGTTCCCAATATTTTAAGGGGTTTTTGAGTTTCAGAACCGGTTCTTTTGGTTTTGGTTCCAGTTCCTGTCTATAACTGACATTTTTTCTATCAGACAGGTTTCACTGTACATAATTTATAAATAATGAAAATCAATAATACCGAATTTAAAAGCCCGTAAAGTAAAACTTTGACTGTTATTATAGATGCATATTTTATTTATTTGATACAAAAGAAAAAATAAAAGTTTAATAAAATAGGCACACTGTGCTGTAAAACTATATTCTTATATACTCCTGTTTTTATCTTTTTATATTTTAATCTAAGAAAAAAGTTGTCCCAGAAATTTTACTCATTTAGGCTGAATTTTCATACCTACGCTACTGTCTGTCACCGTCAAAACAAAATTTCCGCCTTTACTTTTCCGCACATTGTTTTAGAACTGCTAAACGGGCCACTTGCACGAACTCAATTATTTACAGTGCTTGAATTGGGAGGTGTCTCGAGAGAACGGAGTATCGCTTATTTTTTAAAAATATTTAAACGTATCACTTCTAATTTTTCTTAATGGTTTTGATTAGGTCGAATTTAAACATTACAAAGGAAACTACTTTTTTTTAAACCTCACAATACCCCTTCTTTTATTTTCTAAGTTCAAGCACTGATTACTTATTGTAAACAGACCGATCAACTTCAACTAATTCGAACCAACTTCGTTTCTCTCGCATACAAATCATTTGTCTCTATTTTTAACCGGCAAATGCTACGCTTGAAACGAAATAATCATATATACTATAAAACTACACAATTGTCGAGTAATGAAAATAGTCTCCGTGCATAGGCAAACGCTCAAAATTTGTTAATAAGGTTTAGTGATGTATTACCGCTGGAACAGGACATTTATTTGTCGCGTTAAACGCTTTCGTTAATGAATTCCACATATTCCCCATTAACGACCTAGCCGTACTACAAGCATTGAAACATTTCAAGAAATACGCGTTGTCTTTCCATCCACCCATTGAACTTCTGGACGCCATATTATAATCCACCTAAGACATAATTATTAATAAAATATTATTATTAACATTAGGCGTCTGTATAATATTATATACAGTTGTTCGTGAAAAACCAAACTGGAACTAAGAACTGGAGGCGATATTATAATGTTATAATATTATAGTTATTATAAAGTTATGTTTTTTGTAACTAGATCAATTAATAACAAGATCTCGAAAATTTGATTATTTTTTAATGGGTATTTTATAGGCCTATTGTTTGATATAATATGAGAAAGAAAACACACACAGTTATATTATTTTTCGGGTCTACGAATCTTAAAAAAAAATATATAAAAAAAAGGACGGACATACTGACTCACGCGTGGGTGCAGCCGCTATTGTAGGTGGGTAGTTGGGAAGGTAGGCTACGTAAAAATAAATCATTTCTAACGAAATAACGATTCTGAGTCGAGTTCAGTTGATAATGTTGCTTTGTCAATAATATAATATATGGTTTTATGTCATACTATGGTAAAATTATTAAAAAATGTGCGTTTCCATGACAACAATGATTGTTTAACAAAATTATTATTATTATTATTATTAGTATTCGTTTATTTATCAAAAAAAGAATACTGTACCTCACTGTGTATTTTCATGTGAAGGCCCTGGTTTTATTATATTAACATGTGTTTGATTATAAAAATGGCAATATATGTATAATGCTTTGAGAATTATTAATTATATAATATAAACAAAATTATGTATCTAGTGAATAAATTAAATTAAACGTAAAAATCATTATGTTCAAACTTGAAAAACGGAAAAGTTAGAATATAAATCGTTAGTAAAAAAAAAAAATATTTGTACAAAAAATGATCACGACACAACAGTATAGGTAGTTTTGTAATAATAAATCAGTGTTAAATTTATTAAGAAGTAATTTCGTAATGTCTATTTTAAATCTAGCAGTGGTAATGTGTGTAGGTGTTTTGGTATTAAGTTTCGAATTTTTGCACCGACAAATTCATATTGTTTCCGTGTGCCTGTTTTAAGAGGCCAGTGTATTGTAAAGTTATTTTTAGCGAACCTTGTACCTATACCATGGCATAGAGTGGATGAGATAGTAATTTTTTTTCAAAAAAGAAAACTGCTGATTTCGAATATAAGTTTTTGATATTTAGTACATTAAAATCTTCATATAGTTGTTTCGTATGGTATTTTTTATCTTTTTTTTAAGGCGATCCTAATTAGAGTATTTTGACTAGTTTGCAATCGAGAGAAAGTGTTATAATAAGATCCTCCCCAGCCTATTATGTCATAAAAAATAACTGGTTCTATCAGTGCCAAGTAAATTGGCCTTAAATCTTTCTTATTTAAGATATCTTGAAATTCTTCCATTATGTAAATCATTTTTCTAGGTTTTTTTGTTAATGAGTTGATTTGTTTATTTCATTTTATGTTTGAGCATATTTCTACACCCAAATATTTAGTATTATTCATAATGTTTATTTTCTTGCATTGGCAATTTATATCATAAGTGTTATATGTTTTATTGTGTTGTATAAAGTCTTTTATGTTTGGTAATGTATTTATTTTCCACGAACGTAATAAAATAACAGTTATATCGTAATTTAAAAATAGGTTATTTATAAAAAGCCAGTGTTCTATAATTTTTAGATCTTCCGTTATAGTTTTAAACACCTCTTCGTATGAATCCACGTATTTTCTGAGTAAATCAAAACTGTGTCATCAGCATGACAAACTAAAGTACTTTTTAAAGTTAAGTTTTTAATGTCGTTTAACTGTATATTGAATAGTATAGTTGAAATCGCGTTTTCTTGATCCCCTCCCCATTTAATCTTTATTTCATCATTATATGTTTTGTTAATTTTAACTAATTGTTTTCTATTACTAAGGTAAGATGTGAATAATTGTAATGCGGATCCAGTTATCCCGATGTTTTTATTTTATTCAACAGTATTTCGTGGTTGATCGTGTCAAAAGCTCTAGCCAAGTTAAGGTAAATCGATTCACGTTTTTTTTTCTTTCTCTAATGCATTGTAAATAATATTTGATGTTTTTGTTATATTGCTTGATCCGTTCCTTTTCCCGGTCTAAAACCAAATTGGTTTTCAAATAATAGATTATTTTTTTCTAAAAATTCAACTAGTTTATTTTTAATTGTTTTTTCAGACACTTTTGCAAAATTTGATATAATATATATATATATATTGGAGCTTGAGGAGGGAATGTACACATCATAGTAAATATAGCTTACAAGTATTACACTTCGCTCAGAATCTAATAAAATTCAACTTACCCAAAACGTATCGTCAAATTGTGTTTTTAGGGTTATGTTACCCATTATGTAAGTGATATTAAGCGATTTTCTACTCAAATAAATATTTAACGCAACCGAATGGTTCGCTGTGTTCTGGATCGGACGGATCGCTTCGAGTTTTGGAATATACGGTCCCTGCAATAAGAACATAAGAATATACTATTATGCTTATTGAACATCTACAATATCAGCTGTATTAGTATAATAAATGTATTATTATATAATCATATATATAGCATACAAATTAAAATATTAATATTATTACTGCGGGTAAGTTGGGGAAAAAACCGTTTTTATTTTTCACTCCTTGACTACCGAACACTATACAAATCTCTAGTATCCTAACAATAACATACAGTTGAATCTTCATCGTATTGACGGTTTAGATGTATAGGTACTTATTACGTAATCACTAGTTTAAAACTTTTAACAATGTACAACTACTGAGTAGTGCATAATATTACGTGAGTATCAATGAGGATGAAGAATGATAGCAACTAAAAAGTTGAATGGAAATGTTCTGGTTGCGCGACTACCTACCTATCGGTGTGTAATAATTGATTTTTGTATCCTGTTCCAATTTATATAATTATTGTATAATAATTATAATCGATATAATACGAACGGATATTTTTTATTTTATTTCATTTTGTTTCCGGTCGTTTCCCCCTACTTTGATTCAATTATGTGTTTTTTGCAGATATCAGCTGATTATATAGGTACCTAGGTATATATCTCTGTAATAAATATACAATGAAAACCACAAATCTGTATAATGTGTATTATATGACGCAATTTTTATAATATTCAATTATATATTTTGAAGCTGTTTTAATTCAGAGCTGTAAACTAGTATTAAATATTTGAATACCGATTAATAACGGTATAAAATCAAAATCGAACCGAATAAAAACGAATACCTGTATCCCGTGATTTCGGTGATTTTCAAATTCTCCTTTTGAACATTTCCGGAACATAACCAATACACTTCACTTCTCTTAGATTCAGAAACTATCCGATAACATTCTAAATTATTAAACTTTTAATTAAACTCCACCAAATTCCGTATACACTACCAATTATTTGTCAGAAGCAGCCGTTTAACACACACCAGTGGAGGATGATGTGAGGTACCTCCATCTTCAACATACATCCACAAATCAAGCTGTAGGTTTGAAGACACCGAATCTACCGAACGACCTTTCAACAATATTATCGTTAAATATAATTTAATTTACCATTATTATGAATAAATGGCTAACTTTCAGCACCATTCCTTATGAGTACCACAATGTTGTTTTGGAACTCTGGTTCGGTTACTCATAAATAACCAAAATAGAATTTATTGAATTTTTGTTTTTCTAAATAATAATATTTAGTAATTTAGTAATTTCGTAGGTATTACTTAATTTACTTTATTATCTCCGAAAAATCGTGATAACACGATGGTCGGTTTTCGTCGTATAGTTTTTATCGCTTTTATAGTTTATTATTAGGTACAATTTGCTGTCCGATAAATCGTACGTAGGCTAACTACCTGGGCTAAATAATATTATAAAAGCTTTGGAAAGATAAATAAATGGAAAAATATTGAAGTAAACTTAAGGTCTGCAACTGCTATAGAGGCTTTAAGTGTCTGTGATAATTTAATGGATCCAAAGTTGTATGAGTTACTAAAAATATTAGCTATAATAACAGTATCCATCGCAACTTTTCGACGTTGAGAAGACTCAAAACGTATCTAAAAATTACGATCTCAGAATCTAGGCTAGTGGGACTTGCACTTTTAGCAATTCAGCGAGACATTAATATACACGACGAAATGTTATTAGACAAATTTGCCATCAATGGCAAAGAAAGAAATTTAAATTTGATATAATTTGTTACATTATCATTAATGTTATATTTATTGCGTATTCTATATCATTATTAATTGTGTGAAAACAATTAAGATTAAAACAAAAATTAAAATTGTGTAGTAAATTTCTTATTCTTGTTTTTAATATGTTAAATTGGGAAATTTACCTTGGAGAAAATACCCCCCCCCCAAAAAAAAAAAAAAACTAAATTAACTCCTGCAAATGGTATTAACGTTAAAGTGTTACACTCTGACTTTATAATGTATATCCATAATATACCTACGTATAGGATAAACTATATTATAGATCTGCATAAGGGCTGCAGCCTGTAGATATGAGAACATTCAGCTATACTTGTATCATCATAATATTATCACAGAATAGATTAATTATGATATATAGATTGTAGTAATAAAACAAAATACAGTTAAATTTACAAATACAAACAAAATTATTATTAAATCGTTTTATTAACTTCGTAATATTTAAATTTATCAAAAAATTGCACACAGTTAAAATGAATAACAATATTATTATCGAAATTATTGCCAATACAATATAATATTATTTTTATATAAGTACATTAGTACAAGATTTTAAATGCGAATTGTACATTGATTTATTCTAATATGCAACAGCAAAAACAGAATGGGTGCATTCGAATTGCGTCCAAAACTTATAATTTGTCCGAGTTGCGTCCATGGTTTTCTCACGACAGGTCCGAGTCACGTCCCCGTTAGTATACTGATGTATACATACATACATTTCCTCCTTAAATTATTTAATCAAGTTCGTTCAATTAAAAATAACATGTACACAAACGTTTGAATACAACCACCTCTGAAAATTACTATTTAAACATTTTTATAAAGCGAATTTGTATCCATTAATAAAATATAATATTGTATAATTTGTTCACGAAATATTTGATTTTCCATTAATATATCGTAACAAAATATGTATTAGTACGTTTAAACGATTGTCGTGAATGTGACAGTGAACCTAACTGATGTTTATATTAACAAAATTTAATTTCCAATAATAAATTGTTAGGTGGTATTTACAAATGAAGTATCAATAGTCAATAAGACTGGATATTTACGAGTACCTATACCACCAAATATTATATAGATATAGAATTAGATTAAATAGAAATTCATAGGCGCAATTTGGGTGGGGGGGGGGGTTGAGAGGACTTAGCCTTCCCTGGCCAGTGTATTACCATATTAGTATCGAAAGCCTATAGATACGTTTAATTTAATGTATAGGTAATCATAATGCGATAATACCAAGTCTTCAATTTTAAAAAATAATAGTTAAAGTGTATTGAAAATAATTGTCAATTGAATATTGATCAATGATAAGATAAAAATACTTAATTAAAAAATTGTATTTATTTTTATATTTTATTGTATAGTCATACTGCAACTGCAATCTATTTGTAATTTAATTAAACCATTCATAAGTTTATCTACCTTGGTTTATATTTTACTGAACAAATTTGTCAAAACAAACATTAATTTTAGTTAAAAATTTAACATTATAATATATTTAATGATTGATTACGTGAACGTTGTAGATAAAAATGTATTTTTTTTTTCAGAGGATTTTCGGCCATGGTCGCCGGGTTTCAATAATTTTGTGTTGGGGGGGGGGGCAAATTTATTATTGTATTTTTTTTTTTAACATGAAATTCGTATACAGCCTTAATCGTCAATATTAGAGTAATATTTAGAGTAAAAATATACTTAACTGTTTGGTACGAATAATTATTATAGTAAGTACCTAATCTATACCTACGTCCTTCCCATTAATATATTATTAATATATATATGTGCAATATGCATATTATAATTTTCATTTGATTAAATTTTTTTTTTTTAAAAATCTGTTTCCCACGGTCGAAGTATGTTCATAATACTTATACAACCGCCGACAAAATCGTTATTATTGTTTAAAACCTTCACCGTTATTCTGTACTTTCCGTAAAAGAACGTCTTCGGGAAATTATTATCAGTTATGTCGTGTATATTCATACCCGACGATATATACGTGCCCTGTAAACGACAAAAAACCAAAATCATAAACCAACATAGAGGTATTATTTTATCATGATGTCTGGTAATCGCTGCCTGTATAATTCGGGCAGTAGACTTTAAGACGGGCCACACACTATAAAAAATATAAACACGAAACTTGTAACATGAAACAAAAAATTATAATTACTTATTGCTATGGTGTTATGCAGATAGCAACCAATCCACAAAATTTGAAAATTGGGATTTTTATTTAAAACTAATTAGACAAAGTCAGATTATGCATTTTTCTAAAAACAACCAAACCAATATTGGAGTGTAATGCTGGTATAATGGATGCATCTAATAACGATGTCTTTTTTAAAACAACATTTTGTATGTGTCAGCCACCAGAGCCACCAAATGTCATCTTCTTTAGACATTTCGAAAATTGATCATCTTTAATTATCTCATGTATAATCTCATTGTTTATGTTTCGTCAATATAGAGATAAAGTAGATAAACCCGAAATTAGTTCTCGAACCAAATTACATATAAAAAGTTTCGTGTTCTATATATTTCTATATTATGCGCGGCTGGCTTAAAATGCGTTATGATTTATGAAGACTTTTATAGTGAGCTACATACCGGGGAAACTTTTTTTTTTTAAAACCAGTGCCATGTAACGTGAAACTTAAGATTTATGAAACTATTTAATAAACGAAATTAAATTTGAACATATTTTCTGGACGTTTTTCGTTTTACAGCTTATATATTATTATTACTTAATACTTACTATTGCAAGAGGACATTTTTTGTTTGTCAGGTTGAAAGCTTTTGTTATCGATTTCCACATATTAGTCCCCAATAACGATAGAGTTACACTACAAATGTTAGGAGATTTCATGAAATAAGCGTTTTCTTTCCATCCGCCAATCGAACCCTGGGACGCCATATTAAAATCGATCTAAGACATTATAATAATTTTTAATAGTAGGTATTTATTATTCCGTATTGCTTTTTATTTAAAATCTGAAAAATAATTAGGTCTACCATACATGTATTTTTATTATTTCTTCTTCCAGCTTCTATCACTTTTCAAGAATTTTCGTTGTCATCGCTAAATCATTCCACTTGTCAATTGTCACGATCCCGTAATAACTCCCTTCAATTTCGCACCCAGAAGACTTTTAAATCCATTTCCACTACATCAATCTACCTTTTCCTAGGGATCCCATGGCTTTTTCCCTTTTGGTTTCCAATCCAGTACTAACTTACTTGATGTATCTGCGTTATACCGCATTGCATGCTCTAGTCATTGTGATCTCTAGTTTTTTATGAATCCATTTATTGATACTATTTTCAATTGCTCTCACAACTCCTTATTGAAATTCCTACGCCCCTGGTCTGTAACCACATCTACAACCGGGCACATATTCTTCTCTACATTTTATCTACAAACGTCTTTTGTCTTTTCTGTGTGGCACTTGTGGTGGTCCGTACTTTATAACCATATGGTAGGATTGGCCTTATGACTGATTTATATAACCTTAATTTTGTTCGTTTTTATAAAAAAAAATTTAGTAATATAATGATAACTCTTTCTGATTTTGCTATTCATGCCTGTATTTCGTTGGACCAGTCATTATTTGTGTTTAGTAAAACACTAAGGACCAAGATACTGAAACTCTTCGACTTTCTCATAAGGTAGCATTTCTATAACATCCGAAGTCGTTTAATATAGTGTAGTTCCATTAAGTTTGTTTTGTCTACGTTTATCTGAAATCTTATTCATCCTGCTACACATTCCAATGTTTCAGTTACTACGACTGTATTCTACAGAGAATTGCCAACATTCTAATGTTGAGCTCGTCCGCAAACTTTAATACTTTTATCTGATATTGATCTATATTTATTCCTCTTGCTTCGTTTTGCAATCGTTTTGTAGGCTTTTCAACAGTCTACAAACTTCTGCCACATATGTGGTAGAATATATATTCTGGTGGTATTCATGTTTTTCCTCTATTAGGTATAGGTATACCTATAGCTCAACTATTGATAATTGTTCTATGGTTGACCTACTTTTGCGAAAGCCACACTGATATTCGCCTAAACTCTCTTTTGCAAACGGTATTAGACGGTTCAATAGGACTTTGGAGAAAACCATATATACTAAGTTCAGTAGACATATCTCTCTATGACTGCTACACTCGGTTTTATCTCCCTTCTTATGAAGTGGTACAATTATAGCTTCGTCTCAGCTGTCTATTATTATTTTCTCCTGCCATACGGTATGACAAAGCTTATAAATAAAGTTATACACATCTTTTCCCTATACTTTATAAGTTCTGATGGAATATCGTCAGAACCCGGTGTTTTTCAATTTGTAATGTTTCTTATCGCTTCCTTTACTTCTTCTTTGGATACTTAATTTACTGAAGACTCCGCTTGCTACACCATTTAACAGAGCAGCAAAATATTCCTTTCATATTATTATCTTCTTTTCTGGTTCCATAAGTATTGTACCCACAACTTTTAAGATAGGGTTAAACGAATTTTACTTTTCTGCTCATATGTCTGGTCATAAAAATAATGAAGACTTAAACTCAACTCATCAAAATCTACTGCATCAATTTTGGTACCTAACAAACAAAAATGACCAAACTCCCTTAGTCTTTATCATAAGTGGTCCAAATATAAGGTGATCCCTCCATTCAAAATAACTAGGCACTGCCCTTGACAGGAAACTACCATGAACGTCCACGTCAAATCATTATTATCAAAGCTAAGCGATCGTGTGCCGTTCTTCATCCAGTACTAAACCAGAAATATTCGATTCTGTCATCAACGAAATTCAGATTAATTAAAATATACATTAGGCTAATCTTATTATATACAGCTACCGCTTGAAGTCCTATGATCTCCAAATCGAAATGGAAAATAATTTAATTCATTCAAATCACCTAGGGCGGCTGACACCAAATAGTTGGGATAAAGATGAAGGAGAAGAAGGAATTAATGTTATAATATGTAATTGCATGACTATGACTATTAGAGTACAAATAATTCAGCTTACCGATAAGGTATCGTCAAATGGTATCTTAAGGGTCACGTTACCCATTAGGTGAGTTCTGTTGAACGCTATTCTACTTAAGTACAAGTTCACTGCGATTTTATGATTAAGAGTGGACTCGAACGGATAGATCGCTTCGAGTTTTGGAACATACGGTCCCTGTAAATAGGAATTATGATTTATTTTTCTTAAATTTAAGAACAATAAACCCAATATGAATAATGCATATTTGCAATACAATATATTATATTTACAAATATAATATTAATAGGTATAGGTACGGTGTTTATTGTACATCAGTTATATCTGTATATTATTTTAATATTTATAAAATATATATATATAGAATAATATTAATAATTACTAAGGGCAAATTAGGAAAAAAATTGTTTTTATTTTTTACTGCAGCTTGATTACTGGATATTATACAAATTCCCTGTATGATATTTAATATTAAATATAGTAGAGTCTTCATCTTCAATCTTGATCTGGTTTTTCTATCTATATTGTACAGTATCGATTGAATTTAAATTGGTATTATGCTGTCAATCAGTCAACAATATAATAAATTAAGGTAAAACTAGTTTGGTAAATAAAAACAAATTTAAATTTACAAAGTCAAATAAAAGTATCAGTTCAAATACAATGTTTTGCATTACAATAGATATCCAATAACTAATGATGTCTGTACAGATTGAACATATTCGGGTACACGCATACCTATAATTAATTATTACATGATATCCGGTTTTCGGTTTTGTCATAAGTAATTTTATAATTAAAATATTATAATCGACATAATACGAATGGTTAGATTTTTATTTGTTGATATTTATTTGTTTCCGGTAAATAATTTATTAAATTATATTGTAGTTTTGCAAGAATCTCTATCGTATCACTATAGGGACACGTGTACTCTCCCTTCGAAATTGTTTATTTTATCGGTTGTGTTAGTGTATTTATTGTACTAAAAAATAAAAGGTTATAGTAAAAATAATTAGTGCCACCCACCAAAAATGTTTTCTTGAATACGGTATTCTTGGTCAGTATATATACCTACCTTACGGTGTGCAATTATATAACTTAACTACAATACAATATTTTAATTAGATCTCAAATTTTATCTCACCATTAGCCATCCCATAAATATTACTAAAATCGTAACTTATTAATGCCTTCCATACGTATGAGTAGGCACATTTAAATTAAAATTCTAATGTAATAAGGTAAGATAATAGGGACGGGTACAGCCACTGGTGGGAAGTTGGGAAGGTAGAATATAGACGGGAGTTTAATATTCATCTATAAGCAACGATAAACCATTGCTTACGAAAAAAACTCCGTTTTTTTCTAAGCGGAGTTCAGTAGATAGTGAAGCTTTGTCAACAATACGTATGTCATTTTGTAGTAAAATAATTAAATAAGATTTATATATTTTCTCTAATAAAATTTGTTTAATGCTGTACCAATTATCCCAATTTCCCTACGTTTTTCCCCGTTTTCATATGTTTTATCCCGATTTTTCATATTTACTGGGAAAACTCTTGAGAAAAACAAAAAATGACCTCTCTAAATTATCCCTCTAGTGAAATTTTCTCTTTAGTACATTTAGAAAATGTACGAATTGTAGATAATAGTAAAACAATTTATATTTTATGTACAGAACTTTTTTTTTAAAGGAATTCGATGTGGGGAGGTACTTTAAAGAAGTAATTTTTTGATTTTCGTAAGAGCTTTCCTAGCAAATGTGAAAAACTAGGATAAAACATGGGAAACCCAGGAAAAACGTAGGAAAAACGGGAAAATCGGTTCATTAAAAAAACATTATTAAAGATAATTTATAATGCCTATTTGATTATTTTACCATAATATGACATATAAACATTGTTGATAAAGCATCACTATCAACTGAACTGTAATCAGAATCGTTTTTTCGTTAGCAATGGTTTACCGTTGCTTACAAATATAGATTAAATTACCTATATCAGTTACCTGCACCCGTCTTCATTATCTTTGGACGTCTTTTTTTTAAATGTATTTATTAGTATTTGTAGGTCAGGTAATTTATTTTTTGTTCCTGATATTTCGGGGGGTGTTTAAACCCCCAAATCTCTCCCCTGTATACAGTAAACTACAGTTATAGAATTAATGTATTTTCACTTATTCAAATGAAATGGGAGTAATTATTATAATTAATTATTAATTATTAATCAATTTTCTTAAAAATAAAAACTATCATCTATTTTTTTAGTATATAGCAAAATATTTTATACCTAATAATTAGTTGAATATTTAATTATTAATATCTAAAATAATTTATCCAGACCAGGATTAAATGAACTATTTTATTAATGTAGGCATCAGGCATGGTATGATAAAATAAAGGTACATATTAATAAATCAGAAAATAAAACTAGTTGGTACATAATTGAAAAAGATGTCAACAAAATATAAACTATCGTATTGAAGCATTAATTTTTTTTTTTTTTTATTCAAAACTATAGGTACCAGAAATTAAAATTGTGAGTTATAATCAGAAAATACTATTCTTGTTAGTAATTGTTTTATTTGAAAAAGTTGTTGACTACACTTATTTATACAGTAGTATCATCAGAATATATCTTAATTTAAGTGAAAATTTAACAATAAGTGTATATAAATTAATACAACATATTTGAATATTGTGAGTGTAGTGAAATAATAATAAAAATAAATAAAAAATAATTGTATATTTCATCTTGAAAACAAAATATATGTAGTATGTACATGGTTAAATAATGCCTAACTTAATGTAAATTTTGAAACCTTTTTTTTATCATACCTATGCACTTTTTTAAATATGTGAATCCTACTACTTCAGTTGGTATTTCAGTTGGCTGTTTTTCTATTTTAATAGAGGAATAGGAAAGCATTAGGAATTGTTCTTCAATAACATGTCTACTCCAGCCTTTAGGAATAGTTTTAATATTTTCTTGTATCATAGAAAATAACAATAGTTAGTTTAAACAGTAATTATGTTTTCTTGATTAATAGGATTATTTCTATTTTTAATATTATCAGGATTTATTCCCAATAAAGGTGGTCTTTTATGTTTTAATGGCCTTGATAGATATTTTAGATAGTTTGGGAAAATAGATGGCACTGTTTTTTCTTTAAGTCGAGGAATTTTATATGGTGCCTGTTGGGGACAAACTAATAATAAATTAATTCAAATAAAATATAGGTAATATTTATTTCTTTATTTCTTATTTATCTATTAAAGTTTTAATACTAGAATTTATTTTAACTAATACTCCATTTATTTATGGGCTTTTTGTATAGGTTGCCATTTACAGTGAAAAAATGGTGATTATTTACACAGGAATCGTAACCAGATTTACATCCTGGTAGGACGCATCTATATCCTGTCTTGTTTAATTTATTAAATACAAAAAATTAAAAAACAAACTGAATTTTCATAAAATTTAAATTGGAATGTTTGGATGTTTGTATTGTTGTTATTGTTTGATGCGATATTGTTGGGTGCACGCATATGTGGCGCTTCTAACGGAATTTCTCTGTTATGACGACAACAAGCAAATCATAATTGTATATGGATGGGATAGCAGAGTGCAACCCCGTGATCGTTGTTATCACGATCAATGCAAGATTTAAGATAATATCCACTATTTTAAATCGTGGATTATAGATATACTGGTTGGTGGTTGCCCAACGAGCCCAACAATTCTGTAGCGCTTTTAGATCGCAATGGAACTACAATATTATGTCGCTGTCGCAATTCACAAAATATGTTTGTGAATGTAAAATTTTAAATCATTAGTGATTACGATTTTCGATTATATTTATGACTAAAATTTCAATCACAACTAACAAACTAACGTAAAAATTAATAATAACAATAAATATAATAAACATATAGGTATAAACAATAAATATGTACATTAAATTATTATATTTTATTCAAAACAATCATTACTATTAAGTATTAATACTGGTGATGTGGACATGTGTAATCTCGAGAAAATCAGACTTAATTGGAACAGTGCCTACACTAAATTTTGGACGCTTTAAACAAATCTGAATTTTTTTTTTTCCAGAATATTTAGCTATATTATTAGAAAATTAAAGAAAATCTATAATCAATACAAAATAATAAACCAATGAAATAATTACTGTATATTTACTGATTCCTTGTCCAGATACCTACATGTGTTTAAAACGTCTTTATTTTTAAAATGATATTGGCATATTCTGGAGTTTTTTTCTAAAATTTTAATAACACCTACAGTTTTCTCTCATCCACCTTTTAATGGAATTTTTTTTAGTACTCCAAAGGTACTGGTTTTAAAACCTTTATAAAAGCAGACAGATAAACAATTGGACATAATTTTGTGAATATAATAATTTCACATAATATTGTAATATAAAATCATTTCCATTGACACAGAACGCACTAAGTTAGTTTAGCAGCTGTTCCTAATAACAATTTATTTGAATTACCAAGTTAAAACGCTTATAACATAAGCCATGTTACATAGCCTGTTGGGCGACCAGTACATCTTTAATCGTGGTGGATACTTATTTCTGGGCGTTTAGTCTCCTTAGTCCTTTAGTGTTGCCAGGTTTGAGGATTTTTTTTCGAGGACTTTAGAAACGTGGCACTGAAGTTCAGAATTTTAATTTTTCAAAAAAATTCCAAATATTTGGAAAATATCGATATCAGTAAAGTATCGAATTATTATTAAATCGTTTTATCAAATTGAAAACAAAAGGCCAGCATAAAAATGGGTTATCACATGGTAACATAATCATGTGTTATTATTTATGTTATTTATGTTATCATTAATTATTAATTATTATATTCAGACTGGAAGCTTTCTTTGATGATATACCTATGACCAAAAAACTAAATATTTACAATTATTTATAAAAAAATGATTCGATATTAGTAATTTCTAATCGATATAAATAATATCAAAAGTATCGATATCAAAAGTAAAATATACCGTGGTTATGCTAAGTATATTATGGTAGATAATAAGTAGTAGAATGTAGATAAACTTATTAAACAAATCGTAGAACTGTGTGAGGAAGCCATTATTATTTATTAAATGCAATAAAAAATTTGTAGTAAATCCAAGGATTTTTAGGTTGACTGACAGGGAAACGTTTTTTTCAAGATTTTCAGTTATTATGGCAGGATTTCAAGAATTTTTACCTAGGAACACTGACTTTTTATTCTAGTCTTTGTGGTCATCTTCGTTAGTTAAAATTAATGATCAAATATTCAAGTCATCAGTTTGTGTTCTGAAACTCATAAGTAAGTACTTAATCAATTTTAACATATATAGATTGTTCTTCTTCTCCTTCACTGCTATCCCAAATATTTGGGATCACCTCCATCGTTCTAACCTTCCACTTGACATGATTTACCATCTCTTACCAACGGTTATCCTCATAGCAATATATCATTCTCAATCGCATGCAACCATCAAATTTTTGGTCTTCCTCTCTAGCTCTTAACTCCTATGTTTATTTGTATTACAATTCTTACAGTTTCATTTTATCTCTTATCAAAGCCGCTCCTAGGCTACCTTTTATGTACTCATCCCTTATCCTATCTTCTCTCATAATTCCAGTTATCTACTTAGCCATTCTCATTTTTACTACATTCAAGCTTTGTTTTATTTTTATGTCTACCTCCCAATAATAAATGGACTATACATCATAGTCACTCTCACCACACTTTGGTATAACTTAATAAGTCTCATTGAAACTCTTTTGTTATCTATCTTCTATCTTATATCTTTCTTATACTATAAAAAATATTTTTTAATAATTTGTATAGAGTTGTGTCTAATTAAAAATAATTTAATGCATACTAATTTGGTTATTATATAATTTTGCTTTATACCTAATTATGAAAAACAACACTAATAAAATGTACTGTTTTATATTTAGATTTTCAATTTAAATTATACAGTAATCAATTGAAATGAGTCAATTTGTAAATTCATGTTACAACTATGATGAAATGTTAAATGACTTGATAAATACTAAAATGATAAAGACCATAAATGAAGAAAAGGCCTTAAGATCTGTTGATTATGGGTATTATTTTGACACCGAAGGAAGCCACAGGGAACCAGATTGGCAGTTTGAAGCTAGGAGGCACATGGTTTATACTACTGCCGCTCTAAATGCTTTAATGTTAAATTCTGGACAGAAATTTTTAAATATCGGCTCTGGAGTTGGCTATTTTAGTACAGTGGCTGGTATATTATTGGGTAATTTTAAAACTTAATAATTATGTATTTATGTAAAATCTTCAATTTTTTTTTCTTTTTAACAGAAAAATTAATATTAAAATTCAATATTATTAGGTTTTTCATATTAAGTGATATCATAGTTTGATTTTATCTATTTAGGTAATAATAGTGTTAATCATGGAATTGAAATTAATGAAAGATTCGTAGATTTGGCACGGGAAAAGTTAGCAGAATTTAATTTGAATTCTGCTGCAATAGATCATCATGACTTTTGTGAACCAATTTTTATCCAGGGTATATTGAATACATGTATATAAATAATATTTTAAAAGAATTATTTTTGTATAATTATTGATGTAGGAAATGCTTGTGAATTATTATCAACGGGTTACTATGATAGAGTTTATTGTGAAGCTGTTGTACCTTATGAAAAATTGATATTTATGAAATCACTTATTAAGGTTTTTATTTTTTATTAAGTACATTAAAAAAAAAAAAAACATACAGAATTATTTTGTCTATTTTTTAGATTAATGGAATATTAGTTATGCCATTTGATGGGTTTCTGTGGAAAGTAATTAGAAAAGATGAGATTCGGTACAAAGCTGAAATAAAAAGTCAATTAATTGAAAATGCATTCTCAAATCTCATACTACCTGATTTCCGTAGTTTAAAAATCGTGACTTTTCGTATGTTGAATATTGAACTGTTTTAACATTTGATTTAATTTTAAATTTCTTTTATTTTGCAGCTCCTGTTAAACAGTTAAATTTGCAAGAATTGTGTAGAAATAATATTCGTTCATCTATGCGCCAATACCTGTTAAAAGAAACCGACCATTTGAAAATGCACACTATGTGCCACAATTTAATAAATACTGATCCAGACAAAGAACGATTTCTTTGGAACATAGTAAAGTTTATAAGTTCTTTTAAACCAAGGGTCATTGAATTAGATCATCTATCATTATTACATAAAATAAAAAAAATAAATAATGACTCAAATACTGGTTTACTGTCCATTTGCCCAGGCATTTCTGATGGTTTGTTGAAAACTACTGGTATGATTAGATTTTTGGTGTTGAATAATAATATTAATACTAGCTGGGTATCTAATATATTTTCATTGTTTGATAATTTAGATAAAAGTGGAAATAGCAGTAAAGCTGAGAGTGAAAATGATAGTGAGGCTATCAGTCACTTAACAATGTATCATTTCATAAAAGATTACAGAGTCAATAAGTTAAGTAGATGTTTAAAAGAAGAAATATACTCGTTATCAATACCAACTCAGGTCAAACATTTCCTCAACTACGACAGGATTGATTAACTGGTATTTAAAAAAAAAAAAAAAAGTACCTTTGTATAATAGAAATAATCATGTAAATAAAATCATTTTTTTGTTTCATTAATTTGAATCCATAGTATATTGTTATATCCTAAGCATAATAATATTTTATTATTAATATTATCGTTATTTAAACAAGCTAGTAATTTTAAAGATTCTCAGATTGGTAAACATGTTAGTGCCCTAATGTTTAAACGTAAGTTGTAAGTTTTGTTATTTGAAATTTATTCAATTATATTTAATATTATACCCATAAAAGATAATGTATGATGTAAACATCAATTTGCATTATTAATTAATTTAAAATAATGTTTATAATATCAATTTTATTAAACTTTTACAATTTATTTATATAGTTTTTATTTGATAGGTACTCTATGAATAAAATTGTTTAACAAGAAGTTTATTATAAATTGTATTTAGTCAAAAAAAAAAAAAAAAATTAGTAATGTGTTATTTTTATTAAGTGTTTCAATATCAATTTTTGATAAAAATTGTAAATATTATGGCCTTTTATTATAGACGTCTATTATTTTAACACAATAGAAAAGAAAAACTGTAAATTGAAAATCTAGAAATAGTATGGTTAATTATTAAACAGTATTATTTTTTAAAATGTATTAATGTCTGTTTTCATTTCAAATGTATTATTTTTTAATTTATTTATTGAACTATAACTAAAAAACTGCATACAATTTTATTTTATTATAATTTTAATTCATTAGATAAATTATTATTTTTTACTTTGTGCTTACTATTATGAGATCAGTTTTCATGAATATAAAATAAGGTTTTATTATTTATCAAGGTAATACAAAATATATTGTAACAATTTATAGTCTAAAAAAACAATTTATGGTTGGATATAATACTTTATGATGAATTATGATTTATGGCCCAAACGTACTGTTTCCATTTAATTATATCAAAATGAACTTAGTGGTGGAAATAGTACGCCTTGGTCCTATTCACTTTACAAACTCATGATTTAATGTATTTTATAAATATAAATCTATTAAGTATCTTAAATATAAATATCATAAATAGTTTCAGTTTTTTTTTTTTTTTTTTTTATGCATTTTTAGAATATTTCAGATTTTTGCTATGACTTTCTAGTAAACTATTTACAACAGAAAATCACTGTTTCTGGAAAATGTAAATTCTAACAGTATTAGAAAGCATAAAAATTTAAATAATAAAAATAATAATTGGAAAGTATTAGTAAGTACTCACTAGGTACCTAATAAAGATGGTTTTTCTATTTTAAAACGTACAGGATTTTTACTATTTGTATTATATAAATATGTGCTTATATATTTATGTATTTTATCGTATCTACTATTGAGTTTTTTTCATTGTTTAAATTTCAGGTACCTACTTATAGTCAAATTATGCTTATTTAAAATACATACCTATAATGTACCTATAATGTTGTTACTACTTATATGATTTTGTTTTAACTTATGTTTATTATCCTATACATAATATAGGTACCTATCGTTTGTTCTGATAATAATCTTAATAATAAATAGGTAATTTTTGTGTACATTAGTTTAATATAATAGGTACACTGTACACATAATCAATATTGAATTTAATCTGTAGGACGTTTTTGAATTGTATTAAACATTTGAATATGTTATGATTGGTAAATAGTATTAAGTATGGAAATTATTGATTTTGTGCTTAACATTATGCTACAATAGAGAATTACAAGTTGATTTTAATTATCAGTATTTATAGGTAATTTCCCCACGACACATTTCCCTTGAAAAAATGTGAAATGACACCCCTGCCATAATATAATATTACAATTATGTATTATATTAACATATAGATTCAATATAGTTTTGAATGCATAAATTAAAACACACTGTATTAAAAAAATAATAAATAATTGAAAAATTTGTTATTTTATAATTAAGTTTTAATCAGATATTTATATCTAACTCTTATAGACCTGTTATTGATTTTCCATTGTAAACTATACTTATATATTAAATAAGTACATTTCAACACTATTTACATAATTATATTATAATATTATCAAAATTATATCGCGTTACGACTAATTAAATTTGATAAAGTGTATTTGTTAAACAAAAAAAGGGTGCAACCGCCAGAATAAAATATCCATATCATTATAGATGTTACCTATTATTAATAATTTAAATTTAATTTAATGTCGTTTTCAAAAACGACATGTCACAGATTTTTCAAAAATTACTTTTTATCAAATTTGAAAATTATATACCTAGTTACGTATTCTGTGTAAAAACTTCATTTTTCAGATTCGCGTTTAATACAAATATTTACTACAAGAAACTAGAATCATAACAATGGTTTATCATTGATTACAGATGTACATTAAATTTCCTTCTACATTGTATCTTCCCAAATTCTTATCTAGTGGTTGCGCCTACATGCGAAGTATGTCAGTCCTTTTTTATTTTGTATATTGATTTTTATTAATTTTTATTCAAAAATGTTCCTTTATTGTCAATATTTTGTTAAGTTAAATTTTTGTTTTAATTTGAAAAAAATAAATACATAGTTTTTTTTTATTTAGTAATTGTGTAATAATATTATTAACATTTATGTGTTTATCTATTTTATTTTATTTATTAACTTAGATTTTGTATTAAAAATTTCTATTCCCTGCAAAAACAATGCAAGTCAAATATGTTTTATCTCAATTTAAAGCATTTTGGTTAAAGTTAGATTATTTGAAACTATGGATTATGGATATCAGAAACCTTAAAAATAAATTAGTAAATAGGTGTAAGTGCAAAAAAAGTTGAATTTCTAGAGTAATTAAGTTTTTTTTGGTTCCTGTAAATATTTAATTTACTAACTTATGTCGTTTTTGAAATGACCTATTTAATTATACTACTATATTTAAAGTAATACATTATACTATATAGTGTATTATGTACACATACTATACAATGGAGTGATTCCGGACAGATTTTAGCGTTTATCTAAACTTACTCAACACATAGTTGATAAAATATCAAAAATCATATATATCATGTTTTTTTATCTATGTCCAAATTATAAAACAGAAAAATAATCATTAAGTTCATTAATATTTTTTAAAAATGAACTATGTCTAGAATCACTCGCAAAATAAGATCATTTCAGATACTCGTTAGTTTTCACTGAATATCGGTGTTACACTATAATAAAGTTGTAATAGATTATTGGATTTTTAACGGGAAATAAATTATTTAATATGAAATCAGAAGATATTTGTAAATGGTCAAAAGATTTGGCTTTGAAGTAACCTATTCAAAAGATAGCAATGGATTTGATCTGAATTGAGTGTCACAAAGCTTATAATTTAGTAAATAATATCAAATCGACTACTTCTTTAAATTTACTAAAGCTATTTATTTATTTAATTATGTATTAATAAGTATTCTTTGAAAGATGTTTATCCTAATATTGAAATTGCACTCGGGATATTTTTAACTATACCGGTGGCAATTGCAACTTGTGAAAGAAGTTTTAGTTAATTGAAAAGTGTAATGAACTATCTAAGGTTTACAATGTCATAGAAAAAATTGATAAATGTGGATTATATCAATTGAACGTGAATTGGTTACAAAAATAACCTTTGAAAATGTTATAGAATTTTTAACTAAAAAAAGCACGAAAAGTGAAATATTGAAAATGTACAAGGTGGGTACAATTTCTAGTAGAATAGTTGTTCACAGATAAAAAAATAAAAATAACTTTGTAAAACCAATACATTCCTTGCTCTGTTCAGAAGTTCAGAAATTAAAATCTTGAATAATTATACTATTGAGTATGTTGTTGATTTTTAAAAACACAGAAAGAAAGGTTTTACTCAATGCTTTTTGGTTTTATAATTTATACTATAAGATTCTAAGTAAAGCGAAAAATGTATATAGGTTTTATTAATATGTTTTTTTTCTTTTTGACTGTGTATCCAAAGGCATACTGATCCTGGTGGCCAATATTGTTATTTTAAAACAATTTTCAATTAAAGTACCATCAAGCAAATAATCAAATCTTTTCTGGTATGCAATGAACAAATAAGACTATTTCTACAAACTTTAAAGTGTTTTCCGATAAACAAAAAAATCTATTATTCATTATATTTAGAATCTAAAATTGATGACATAATAATAATATAGTATGTATAACATATTTTGGATTATTGTTGTTGAAGATACAGGATATAAGGTAATTTAGTTTATAAACTGAAAGCAACGAGAAATTATTATCAATAAAAAATGATTTTCAAAATTGTAAAACATCTAGAAAAGCCTAACATAAGTACCTATTATTTGAATATCTTAGTTCCTAATAATTATTTTTTGCCAAATTACAACTAAAAAAAAAAAATATCAAAAATACTGAAACAGTCAATTTAAGATTTATTTTTTAAGCTTTTTTTAAATTATTAAAAGAACCACCCGGATAATCAAAATATGATGTTTTTATGCACTAATAAAATAGTATTTTATTTCAGAAAGACCCAAAACTTTAAATTTGGATCAAAATATTTGGGAGAAAATAAAATTAAGTTCTGCCATCTACTGAATACATGTTTTATTTGTGACATAAGTCATATAGGTTTTCAAATTTCATATAAACTTAAAAAGTTTTATTGTATAAGACAGAATTAAATTTTTTACGGGCAAAAGTATTATGGAGGTATGCGTTGTATATATAAATTGACCTTTAACAGAACGCATTATCGTCTTGAAAAAATTTAAGGAAGTCGGTCAATGACAGTGGTTAGCTCTTATTATTTTAATAATTCATTATTACTTATTGTTCAATAAATATACATTTGATTTTAATATTGTTATGCTGGGTTGCACCAAATATTTACATAAAGATGAACTCTTTTATCTGGAGTTAAAATATTATGAGTTAAATTGCAAGCTCATTCATGCAAAAGTGTATGCACACCTGCTCTCCATGTAACTATGCCATTGGTTATTACTAGAGTATTAATTGATATTGTAGTAGCAAAGAACTATTGAAATTGATTGCAGTATTGCACTAAAAATGAACAAATGTTTTACAAAAATAGAAATAGTTGGGCTTAATTTTCTGCATATTTACAAAATAATAACAGCCAAACAGTTACATTTCACAAATTATTTTTGTATTGTATTGAATACCTACCAACATGGAATTATCAAAATAAAATACTATTATTAGATTTTATGGCTGGCAATATTATAGTATAATCTTATCTATACGATTGTTGAGTGTTTACTATAGCTAAAATAGTTGTGTAAATGAGTAAATTCAACAAAATTGCAAAACATTGCGATCAAGACTTCTGGATTTGAATTCGTACTTACATGAAACATATTTAAAACTTACTTAGTAATAAATTGAAAAGGTAGAAAAAAGTTGCAACTGTAACAACATCAGTGCCATAGTTATTACAGTAAAATTAGATAATGGAAAATGAATTGGGATTATAAATATTAAACTACTGAATCACTCTCAAAGTAAAAAATATATTTTAGATGTAGTTAGTTGAAGTATAAAAACCGAAAAAAAAAAATTGATTTTCAAAACTTTTGTCATTTCATTTTCGTAAATTGTGTACACACATAATATAATAAATCAGGGAGAAAAAAAGAATTTTTGCTTGAATATAAAGATCCAAGCTTATCAGTCATTGAGCCGAAATATTAATAATTAGTCTAATCTAAATAAAGTTAAATATATATATAAAAAAAAAAAAACATACAAATAATAAAATCTTAAAAAAAAAAATGTTTATAAATATTAAAATAATTAAAAAAAAACATTTTAGACAATATCTATGATAATAATAATAATATAAAAGAGATAATGTCTACATAATAATAATATATTTATGATTACTATTATAATATAATGTGTGTTGTTTTTGAATATACACAACATTATTTACACATTTAAAATTTACGCAGACTTACACACAAATTTTATGACTAGCATTTAGGATAATATTCCACGCAAGATATTGTTCACGGGTTAAAAAGTCTAATCACAAAGAAAAAATATGATTACACAATAATATAAAATATCCTTAAAAAATATTTAAAAAAAAGAAAACAAACACATAAAAATAAATAAATAATAATAATAATAATTTTGTTTTGTTTTTAAAGTCCAAGGCCTAGGGAGACGGTGAATGGGGCCAAGCAATTTTAGCATCAATTCGTTTGTACGCAAACAAACAGTGACTACCACTAGCTGAAGTGGAACTTTTGATATCTTGAGGACAGTCTGTTTCGGATAGCAAAAATTCTGAAAATACAAAACGCATGATGAAATTATAGTAATTTGTATAATTTAAGATTTTATCACCTTGGCCGTCAATCAATTTGAACAAAGAGTAATCCTGCGGGTTGGTAATTCGCAGTTTGTGGGCAATGATCTTGCACACGTCACGTGTAGTCATGTGTGGTCGTACAGGTAATGTCTTGGTTAACAGAGACCCGTTTGTTTCATCAGGCACAACAACTTTAAGCACAGACTTGAGTTCATTTAGTGGATCGTAACTCAACTGCAATCAATTAAAACATGGTAAAAATTGAGTTTGAAATCTATAATGACACGGATATTTATATCAAATAAAACAAACATTGTGTTTCTAATTCATTCTTATCTCCTTGACATTAATATTATCACAATACATTACCACCTTGCGAGACAAAACTGTGAACTTAAAAACTAAAATTTAATCAAAATTAAAAATAAGATGCTAGTTAAGTCAGAAATTCAAAGAGGTGAACTAAAAATTATAATTAGATGTATTTGTTTTGATTTATTTATTTAATTCTTTGTTAAATATATTAGTATTAAGTATACACCAAAGTTATCTGAATTCAAGAAAAAACATGCTTACTGTGTTAATACATTAACCAAATACAATTATACAAAAATATATATTGTATTCATTTTTTTTAAAACTAATCAAATGTAATTACGAGCTCCTAATATATAGAATTCCTCTCTACTGAACACTAGGATATTATTCTTCCTAATCAATAACCAAATTCCCATTTGGGTAAGATTCCCTATCAGTTAAGAATCACTGATATAGGTAATAATGTGCCTGATGGGATACTAGTCAATACATACAGTTGTGTTATCAGAACTCGAAGTCTTCACTCCATTTGCTGTGCCAGCTTCCATGGAAGACTTGTAGCTTTTGAGCACGTGCACAGCACCGCACAAGGCTGTAAGATAGTATCCTCCCTCGCCAGGTATCAGGGATGGATGCAGTAGCCCCCACATGTATTCAGCTTCGAGTTCGGCAGTGAGTACGTTGCACTGGACCAGCACCCACACGAGGAGTGGCAAAAAGTCATCGGCGCCCAGACACGAATCACCAGCATTCCGATTTTGCATTTTCACCTGCAGAGGAAATATGCATAATTAGGTTAGTTAAAACAGAAACAATTAATAAGAATTATTTTATTTTTAAAAACGGTATTTACCGCATTAAATATCAAAGCGATGGCTGACAGCAGGTGTTCCAATTTTTCCAACGGCAGGAACGCGTCCTGCAGACGTTTGAAACACTCGGATATTTTTTTCAGATCGTTCTCGCTCGGTGGTATCAAATTTTCCTGTGATTATTATTTCATAAACATTAATTATTCATAGCAGTTTATACAAGTTCAGGCCAAAATGCTAAAGTATTTTGAAGCAGTTTGATATTTAAACATTACGTACCCTAACAGCAAAGTCTTGAATACTCTTGGACTTGGCGTAGTGGATATTGTCGACCATTGACGGAATGGAACCGTTGTTGACGTATTCGTCGACTAAAAGGCTATAGACGTGTTCCCGGAGTTCCCTGAGCACTAGTCTGTTCATCACGCCTTCCAAGATCACGTCGAGATTCAGGAATTCGGTGGGCTTCAACTGTTTTTTGGACAGACGTAACAATGAAAATGGGAACACACACACACTCTAATCATAATATTATTATTACAAGTTCGGCTGATTGCGTACACGGTTTTCTTCGATATTGATCATTTCAAATTAATAATTACCGATTTAAGTCACGAGGGAAAGTGTGTGGATTTGATTTTTTAATTAGAATTTGAAAACAGCTATATTGGTACGCAATCGTATTCTACCTACACCCGTTACATTATTAATCGAACACATCACCGGCGATGTGAC